AAAAGAATTATACACAAATTTATTGGTGGTGACTGGAATTTTAGAGGAAATGGTCCACGAAAGTGGTGCCTTTTTTTGCGCAAAAGGGTCATTTGTGCAACTGGGTCGTTTGCGCAACTCGCCATAACTCTTTTCTAAGTGGATCAATCTTTATGATTTGATGTCATTTTGTTGCACTTATTGAGATCTACAAAATGAAACCAAAAACATAAAGATTGGCCCACTTAGGAGAGATTTATGGCGAGTTGCGCAAGCCGTGTCGCGGAAATTAGCCTACCCCTTCCAACTATTTGAAAATAAAATTCATTTCATTTAGATCATTAACTGAATATCTTTTACCAAATTTAAAAGAAAAAAAATCAATTTTGCTTTATGCAAATTTTTTGTTTAAAATTGACAATTTAAAATCAAAACAAATCGATAAATACTATTTTTTGTGGATTGTTAATAGTAATTAGTAATTGTTAATAGGTCGAGGGTTCGAACCCCACATGCGACATGGTCACCCCCTTCGGATTTCCTTTCCCTTCGGGTTGAGAGGTTTTCTGGAGGGCAGTCTGGTGGTTGTGGCCCCAGTTCTTTAAAGTGACAAGCCACTCCTTCATCGTCATCTTCCCTTCACCACCAAAAAAGCTATTTAGTTCCCCATTGAGCTTAGGGTTAGGGAGCCGTCTGTCATGACGTGGGTTAAGTTAAGATATAGCCTAGTATTGTGTGTGTCGTTGTATTGTGATTGATATATTTCGTGTATGCGATAAATTCACCACTGGTAGCCCCAGTCGGTATTTTTTTTTTTTTTTTTAATTATAAGTAAAAATTCAAAGAATTAGAAGAATAAAGAGAAAATTCAAAACCGAAAATGTTTAAAAACAAAGAGAAGTTTTTTCCTTTTTCAATTCTAAAAAAATGAACATAGATTTGAAGGAATTTCTTCTTTTCTTTTAAAAAAGACGTTTCCTTTTTTCAAATGGAATATTTTAGCTTGAGTCTTTGAGATTTTTGAAGAGTTTCTTTTGAAAGAAAAGTGAAAGAATTAGGTAAAAAGGTAAAAAAAAAAGAAGGATGCTCACAAGTCCTTGCCTAATTTAGGCAAAACTCAAGCATTTTCGAGTGAAAATGGGAAAATTACTCAAAAAAAGAGTTCAATTTTCAAATACAGAGAGATTTTTGAACTGAATTTACCTCTAAAAAATTTTTTTTTCATAAACCCAAAACGCTGAGCTCCCAAAAAAAAAAAGAAATAAGTCTAAAGCCTAATTTTGCTTGGTAATTGGATATTTATGTTGAGATATTGAGTTTAAGAGAAAAAGAAAGAAGAAAAAGAGAAAAACTAAGTCAAACAAAGAAAGAAAAAGTCACCAAAAAAAGGGTTTTTCTCGACTGAAAATTTGCGAATTTTACGTCAAAAGTTTACTTTTCCTTTCAACTATGGGTTAATTTATGCTATTTTGGCAACTAAATGACTAGAAAAAGAAGAGAATTGCTGGAGAAAATTGGTACAAAATGAGAATTGAGATCGACCTTTCGGGGGTGGCTACTTTGCGCCAAATTCTTTGCGCAACTCGCCATAACTTTCTTCTAAGTGGGCCAATCTTTATTATTTTGGTGTCATTTTGTAGATCTCAATAAGTGGAACAAAATGAAACCAAAATCATAAAGGTTGGTTCACTTAGAAAAGAGTTATGGCGAGTTGCGCAAACTGCGCAAACGCAAACGAGTTGCGCAAACGCAAATTTTGCTAAAACCAAAATGATCAAGCCATAAAAATAACAAAGATTTTGATAGAATTCGATAAAATTTGATCAAAATTTGATCAAAATTTGTTTAAATTGGTTTAAATTGGTTTAAATTTCACCTAAATTAAATTAAATGAATTTATGAAAGTTTAAATTCAAACTGGGGGTAGGCTAGTTTCCGCAACTTTTTTTTTTGCGCAAAAGGGTCATTTGTGCAACTGGATCGTTTGCGCAACTCAACATAGCTTTTTTCTAAATGGATCAATCTTTATGATTTTGGTTTCATTTTGTTGCACTTATTGAGATCTACAAAATGAAACCAAAAACATAAAGATTGATCCATTTAGAAGAAAGTTATGGTGAGTTGCGCAAACGACCCAGTTCCGCAAAAAATTTGGCGTAAAGTAGCCAACCCCGAATCTTTTGAAACCAAATTTTTAGAATTCTTTAAAAATTTTTTGAATAGTTGAACTTTCCAAATACTCTAAAAATTGTAAAAATCAAGAGTTTTAGATTCAAAAAGTCTCGAATCTAACAAATTTTATGATTTTTTTTGTTTTCTTATCCAAAAGAAATTTTAAAGCAAATTTTTCAGTTAAAATGGTATTTATTTTATTGTAAAACTGCTAAATTGTATTTAAAATGTTAAATTTAAAACTTTCAAAGTGCCTTCTTTTAAAAAAAACAGATAAGAGCTCTCAGAAAAGGTAAAGCTTGCGCAAAAAGAAGCGATGATTGATGTCAATCAAAGTGTGATTTTAAAAAAAGACTCTTTTTATGTCAGAATTGTTATTGTTTCATCTCTTTGAGTGTCAAAAGTGAAAAGATCTCTAGAAAAGGCAATCCATCAAAACGCTAAACGTTCCCCAAAGACCAAACGAATTCAAGAAAGGAAAGGGGAGAGCGAATGAAGAGAAATCAAAAGTAACCCTTCATACAGATTTCCGGAGAACAAGCACGAGAAATGAACAAACAGAAAGGAACAATCATCATGTATAATGTTGAGCATTCAATACTAGTTTAAACTAGTGTTGAATACTAGTTTAAACTGGATCGAATAGGCTTTCAATATTGGCAATTATACTATTATACTTTTAAACCAACGACGAAAGAGTTAGCTAAATACTTTTTTGTCAAGTTTTCCACATAAACATAAACATTTAAATGTAGACTAAATCCTGTTGAAAGGCCAAGAAAAAGGTCAAGATAAAGGTCAAGATAAAGGCCAAGATAAAGGCCAAGAGCCAAAAGAAGCTCTAAAAAATGTTAGCACAATATCTGGAGAAAAAAGAGATATTTCTTAGATTCAATTCACTCAACGAAGGTAAGTTTGTGACTGAAAAGAAAGGAGTTTCAAGAAAAGACTCAAGAATGCATATCCGAAATGCAAAGAGATGAAATGACAAGTTGAACGGTGAAGGGAGAAAAGGGAAATTCGATTTGGCTTAATTCAGATTAAGAAAATACCGTAAACCTAAATTTCTTTACTTTACAGAAAGAATTACAGTAAGCTTGAGCATTTGTCATAGGTTAAAGTGGAAATGTACACAGCTTTTCCCTCAAAAAAAAAAGACTGAGGATCGGTGATTGTGGAGTGTTGTGTGTGAAAGTCTCCCAAGGGGTTGATCAAAGGAAAAAAGAAAGAAAAAAGAAGAGAGCAGAATATAGACAAATGGGGGTAGGACACCAAGAAATTGGAAAGCGAAAACGAGGGGAATTCCCGTGGGGAACAGACACAGATTTCCCCTAGAAAGAGGCCTCAAATTAGACACAAAACGGAGTCTCATTTGCGCAAAGATTCGGTCATTTTATAAATACTGTACCTTTATCAAAATCTATTTATGAGTGCAAAAATTAGCCTGCAAAGTTTAAAAGGTATTGTAGTGAGACTGTAGTGAGACTGGAATTTGTATGGTTAGAAAGAGTCTTTAGCCGTATCGGATTGTTTCCGATATTACCCGATCTGTCTAATTGATTGTAATAAAGTTGGTTTAAAGTTTCAAAATCCTTCAAGCATCAATAAATCGTAGGCTTTTTTAGAATTCTCTTGAACTTAATAGATTTCAAAATTGAATCTCTAGACTGTTAGCTTAACAAGTTCAAAACTAAATATCTGGATTGTTAGTTTAGCAATATCAAAACTGAATATCTGGATTGTTAGCTTAGCAATATCAAAATTGAATCTCTAGATTGTTAGCTTAAGAATATCAAATTGAATATCTGGATTGTTAGTTTAGCAATATCAAACTGAGTCTCTAGATTGCTAGCTTAACAATATCAAAATTGAGTCTCTAGATTGTTAGCTTAGCAATATCAAATGGAATCTCTAGATTGTTAGCTTAGCAATATCAAAATTGAATATCTAGATTGTTAGCTTAACAGGTTGAAAACTGGATCTCTAGATTGTTAGCTTAAGAATATCAAACTGAGTCTCTAGATTGTTAGCTTAAGAATATCAAATTGAATATCTAGATTGTTAGCTTAACAGATCAAATTGAATATCTAGATTGTTAGCTTAACAATATCAAATTGAATTTCTAGATTGTTAGCTTAAGAATATCAAACTGAGTCTCTAGATTATTAGTTTAAAAATATCAAATTGAATCCATAAGATTTCCTTATGGTAATTTTAAACAAATAAATTTAGATATTAAAAAATTACACTAGAAAAACTCAAATATTTTTAAAACTTTATGATCCAAAGATCAGAAAAAACTTTAGAAACTAAGAAATTAACCAGAACAACAGCAAAAAGCTACAAAGTGAGTCTAGTAGAATTGAAATCCCAAAAGAAATGGAGAGATTGAATGAACAGAAAGTAAAGAAAGAAAAGAAAAAGCGTAATGAAACGCTGTCTTTTCTCTTCTATTCTCATTCTTTTTTTGAATTCGACAAATTATCCTCTTCTTGGTCTTTTTGCAATTAACATGCGGCGATTTGTCTATTCTTTTTGGGATTTTTACGAGAAACACATAGACTTTACTAGTACAATACACAACAAAACACATAAACAATAGATCTTAATATTAAAATAAAAGCTTTTAAGCTTTTAACTCTTACTTCTAGATCGAGAAAATTTCAAATCCCAAAACGAATCGTATTGGAATTCGTTTAAAACACAACCACATTTGTCACAACACTGCTTTTGAGAACTTTTATATAATTTTAGATTTAAATTTATCAAATAAGTTAATATGATTTAAGAATTTGTCTTTTTTAAATAAAAGTTTCCATTTATTCGATCATCTGATCGATTTCCATTTATTCGATCAACTCACCGCCAAACACTTCATTTCCATTTTGAATCGCGTAACTTCTCGCAGTATATTTGTTGAGATCTCCTCCTTTGAATTCTGACATCATACTTTTCCCCTCGCGAGTTCGCTTCTTTGTCACAAAAACCTGGAAGATTACTGTAGCAACTAGACTATACTAGAAACTACAAAAATGACCAACTCTCACTCTATAAACGCTTCTAATTTGCTTCAAATCTGTCCAATTGACATGATCTATAGCTTAAAAAATAGAGAATCACAAGAGCTTTCGAATGAATTAAGCATACTTGAAAAGATTAGTGCTAAAGAAGGTTTTGGTTTGTAGCCTGATTCGAAACAGACTGTACTCGCGCGTAGTCGGCTACAAACCACTGCCACTTTTTTAGCATTGAGTGAGTATTTTTGAGTGTGCTTTAGCTCCATTCAAAAGATCTTGAGATTCTCTATCTTTTGAGCTATAGTTCATATCAATCCAGCAGATTTAAAGAAAGTTAGAAGCGTTTGTGGTCGAGCCAAAAAATTGAGACAAGTTTAGGCTTTTGAATGACATCAAGATCAGACGAATTCGACCATCTCTGCTCCAAGAACGTGCTATTTATTAAAGTTTGTAGTCTCGTTCTATAGAATAGGACCAGAAGACCTGAAAAAACGTTATATCTTAGCGTAGGGATGGTGGATTGGTCTGATTTTGTTGCCATTCGAAAGCCCAAAGTTGGCTCGATGTTTTGGTAAAAGCAGTTTGTATAAATAGCAATTCTACGCGTTTCTACAAGCGTTTATAGTTTGATCTTGTAGTTTATAGCGTACAACCTGATCTTTCAAGCCCTAATGACCTTGAATTTCCAATGATGTTTCTTAGCTTTTTGATAATTGTTAGCACGTTTACTGTAGTACCCAAAGAACCCAAAAGTTTTATCTTTTAGAATTTCATTCATTCTATATCGAATGGCTGAATTTTTTTCCTCGAATCACCGGCTCAAAACCGCCATGTTGTTCTTGCAACATTCGCAATCGAAATGATTGATGAGCTGATTGAAATGGCCTCCTTGCTGCGCGAAGACTTGACATCCATCCTTCATCTTCGATCGACGTGGCAGAAACGGCAGACACATTCGAAATTGCTGATCGTTTTTTTTCTTGTGATGATTGTCTAAAGAGAAAATTGATTTACCAATTCAAGATTTATAAGCAAATGATCATGAAAATTCAAACAGATTTCATGCTTAACTAGAGATAGAATGAACTAAAGAGAAACGATGAATCTACCGTCCGAAAAAGGAAAACGTTCGTGATGGAGCCCTGGAAAAGCGATTGTTTTAAAGCAATTATTTTAAAGCAATTGTTTTAAAGCGATTGTTATAAAGCGATTGTTTTAAAGCAATTATTTTAAAGCGATTATTTTAAAGCGATTGTTATAAAGCGATTGTTATAAAGCGATTGTTTTAAAGCGATTGTTTTAAAGCGATCGTTTTAAAGCGATTGAATAGTAAAGCAAAGCTAGCTATAAAAATATATAAAAAAGCAATTGAAGCAATTGAATTTGCAAAAGAAATATCTATCAAAATCTGCAAACCTGAACAATGACCTTTTCTGTACTTCTGCTCCTTTTTCTCCACTTTCCACTCCCAATCTCGTTGGCGTTGGTGGCGGTGAGGCGCTTTTACTATGCAACATCGATCTCTTCTTTCGCTTTTGACTGAAATACGCAGTGATATTTTGCAGAGTTGACGCCTCGTGATGAATCTCATCCATATCCATTAGATTTGAGTCAACAAATGTGTATAGAATTTAAAAATTTGCGTTTTCTCCCTGGACAACCCCCGGATGACCATCCAATATCCGATCGGAAATCAGCAGAGCTCTCTTTTATCTTCGAAAAGCGGATATTTTTGACCAAAAAGATACGGTTTTACAGCTTTTTTCCATATTGGGAAATAAAAAAGCTCATAATTTGCTCATTTTTGCTTAATTCTAGTTATAAGTACAAGAAATTCCTTTTTCACTTTAGCTTTTAGTTGAACGCAAATTTATTGCCTTGAGTTTACAGTCCTTTATGTCAATAAATCAGTCTCATTCTTAGTTAGGAGTTACAGAACTTTATCGAAAATAGGTTTAAGTTTTTGCTGACAAGGGAAACAACAGAATTTGGTCAAATGAGATAAGCTATAAACCATTCGACGCCGAATTTCAAGCTGATTCCGAATCTGCTTTCCTTTTTTTCCAAAATCACTTTCCAAAAAAAGTTATACGTGTTTAAAGTTTTAGGGTGAAAATGGAAAAAGAGCCGAATAGGATTTATAAGGATTGCCTCATGATACGTAACTAGATGGTTAAATACAGAACTAGATGGTTAGATACAGAACTAGATAGTTAGATAGAGAACTAGATAGTTAGATACAGAACTAGATGGTTAGATACAGAACTAGATGGTTAAATACAGAACTAAATAGTTAAATACAGAACTAGATAGTTAGATACAGAACTAGATGGTTAGATACAAAGCGCTTGCATACAAAACGAGCGCTTCATTCTTTGCTCGAGTTCGATTCCTTTTTTGTCTAATCGTAAGCTGTTGTACTTAAAACCGACCTTCCAGTGAGCAATGAGTGACTTGATTGAATATCCTCAAATGGATCCAACCGTTGCCCACTAGCTGGACTCGTCGGCATTGAGGACGGGACACGGCTCTGACGTTTCTCTTTTCCTTTTCCCATCTCTGAAAAGTGATTAGAGATAAATAAATAAAAAAAATCACAAAAAAACAAAATAAAACCCAAAAAGTACATGAAAAATCAAGAAATCGATACAAAAAAAACACGCATCTAATCATTGTAAAAGAGTAGCAGAAGAATTTCCCGTTGTGTTTTCTATATTTGAAGCAATGACTCTAAATCCTGGCTGGCTAATCCCTCAAAATCGGGGCGCACCTCGAGAAATCTCTGTTTGAGCGAATCGACACGGATTTGGGCCTCTTCTCTTCTCTTTTCTTTTTTATCTTCTCTTTTCACCCATATTCAGACTCATTCATCCATTTATTAGCGAAAATTTAAAAAATAGTTGAACAGTACGAAAAGTTTAAGTGAAAAAAGCGAAATTTCCGATTTACTATATACTTTTCGATAATCTGTCTTTAAATGAATGCTTGATGAGTCAATGAGGTCACTTTAAAGTGTATACAGGGTGTCTCATAAAACGTCTTCAAATCGAATTTTCTAAAAAGTTCTAGTGGCTGCAGGTAACCGCTTTGGTGTCAAAAGCGTTTATTTGTGCTCATTTTTATTGGAACCGTATTGGATCTAAAAAGAACCGTATTGGAACCGTATTGCATCCAGAAAGTACCTTATTGGAACCGTATTGGAACCGTATTGGAACCGAAAAGTTACGAAAAGTTTAAGTGAAAAAAAGCGAAATTTTCGATTTACTATATACTTTTCGATAGTCTGTCTTTAAATGAATGCTTGATGAGTCAATGAGGTCACTTTAAAGTGTATACAGGGTGTCTCATAAAACGTCTTCAAATCGAATTTTCTAAAAAGTTCTAGTGGCTGCAGGTAACCGCTTTGGTGTCAAAAGCGTTTATTTGTGCTCAGGAATTTTTTCACGCTTTTCTCTTTTCCCCCATTACTTGATACCCTGTACATGAGGATTTATCGGTGCCACCATGGTCACCACCATGAAATTATCAATAGGGTTAAATTTCTACCATAAAGTGGAGAATTTCTACTGGCATCGTGGTGTTATATTAGTTCTAATATGTAAACTAAGATTATTAATTAACGGGGTACGGGGTATCAAGTCTGGTAAAACAGAAAAAAAAAGTGAAAAATTATTGAGCACAAATAAACGCTTTTGACACCTGCAGCCACTAGAACTTTTTAGAAAATTCGATTTGAAAACGTTTTTTTTATGAAACACCCCGTTTGGTTTTTCGCAGGGGCAAGTAGTCAGACCGAGCCAGTTTCATAGATTCCATGGCTCAGTGTTGATTCCAGATCACAACGATTCGCGAATGATTGAGACGAGTGGACTCTTGTAAGGAAATCCAGCCAAAATGGACGTGGATTTGGCGCGGCCGCTTATTTTATTCACATATTCACAGAGAAATTTTAATTCTGAGGGGTTTGCTTAGTTAAACAAGCTGCTAAACTGTGATCTGACTTGAGCGTCTTATTTCTTAGAGGCAAAAACTTGTCCAATCAATTAATTATGCATAAACAAGTGCAAAAACGATTTCTTATTAAGCCATTTCACAAGATTAGTTGGAATTTTAAAAAAAAACAAAATATTGTTGCTTTGTTGAAATGACATCTTTTGAACGCTTTCGACTATTGAAACAAACTTTGATTTTCTTAAATAATCAAATAGAACGACCCCTATAGGAGCGTCACGTAGTCGAAGTTTACTCTTAAACAAACGCTTTCGACTCAATCGAACCAACTCAATTCATTTCTCTTTGATTATCTTAAATAATCAAATAGAACGGCCCCTATAAGAGTGTCACGTAGTCGAAGTTTACTCTTAAACAAACGCTTTCGACTCAATTGGATCAACTCAATTCCTGACGTCATCGAAAATTGAGTTAATTCTGGGCAAATTTCACCAAAATCTAAACATCGATAATAGAATTTACTCAAAATATGATTATGACAAAAGAAAAAAACCAAAAGGGGCTTAAAAATGTGTTCATTTTCTTTTAAACCCAATGAGATGGGTTTTCTTAGAAGAAAATGAGCTAAGAAATGGGGGAAAAGCTCAATCTTTTTTGCTCATTTTCGTCAAAATGAAACAAAATGCTTGATTGGGTTCTCGAGTTATTTAGGTTTTCTTTGATTTTTGCAATTTTTTTTCAATTTTGTTTGAGTTTTGTTCAATCTTTTACAGATTTAAAACAAGTTAATTTGCTTTGCTTTTACTTTTGCTTTACGCGTTTTTATCTACGTCTTAGCATAGTTTTTTCGCCATTTCTGCCTTTTTTTTTTGTTCTTATGTACTTGTTTTCTCTTTGATTATCTTAAATAATCAAATACAAGGGCCCCTATAGGAGCGTCACGTAGTCGAAGTTTACTCTTAAACAAACGCTCATATCTCGATATCAGTACGTTTGTTTTTGCTCGCTTAGATATCAAATTAAAGTAGAGAGAATGGGTGATTTTTTGAGATACAAAACATCTTTTTAACATTAACCAGCGCTTAGAAAAAAATGATTTAAAAGTGACAAAAAAAGCCGATTTTTCATCATTTTTCAATCATTTTTCTCTAAGCGCTGATTAATGCTAAAAATAGATGTTATATATGAAAAAAAAAATCACTCATCTTCTCTACTTTAATTTGATACCTAAGCGAGAAGAAAATAATGTCTGAGCGCCAAGGTCTGAGCGATTCTTTGAGGGGAAACTTTGACTACACGACCTATAGGGACTATTAGTGTATTTCCGGTATTCATTAAAGTCCCACTGGTTCAAATCCCGTTCCAGCTGGTGCGGCCGTTTGCTGTGCAGGCCCATGTTGTTCTTGAAGCATTCGAAGCCGAAAACTCGCATGACAATTGCGGAAACGTTTCTTCGGTGAATTCATCTCATCATCCCCGCAAAGAGCGGCTATCTGAAAAGAGAAAAGCTTTAATATAGCGATTCTTAACCAAAAAAAAGGTAGTACTCAATCTTTACCTGTCAATTTCTAGAAAATGAAACATTATTCTAACCGTTTACCAGTGATAAGCTGGTTTTGAATGAGAGTTTGATAAGAACTTAACAAATACTCAAAATGATTGAGTAATTACCCAATTTTACTCACTTTTGGTGGTTTCTTCAACTGTATCGGTACTCCTTCTTGTGATTGTCCCGTTGTTTCATCCGTGATCGTCAGTTTGCTTGGTTTCGATTGCAGTTTGAACTAGAAAAGAATAGATTTGAATTTAAATACCGTATTTTCTCTAATAGTAGTGCACTCTAGCGAGCCGAGTTGGTGACTATTTTACGGCTTCCAAAGTTTTCTTTTTCAGAACCAAAGAAGCTCAACACTCAAATCCCCCCCTAGATCTCATCGTCAGCTACATTTTGTGACCCCACATCGATAGGTTCTGATAAGTGGTTCTCGAGATTTCGACCAATTTATGCGACCCTCAGAGTGCACTACTATTCGAGAAAATACGGGGTTCGGCGATCATTGGATTCAGCTAAAACTATTGTAATCTAGAAATTAAATGCCTGAGAAAGAGGTATCACCTCACAGATGTTACCGTAATCTGTCAAAGCTGCTTGCTCTATTCTCTTTCTCTCTAATAGTAGTGCATCCCGGCGAGCCGAGTTGGTGACGATTTTACGGTTTTTTAAGTTTTCCCAGAAGCTCAACACTCAAATCCCCCACAAGATCTCATCGTCAGCTACATTTTGTGACTCCACATCGATAGGTTCTGATAAGCGGTTCTCGAGATTTCGAGCAATTTATGCGACGCTCAGGGTGCGCTATTATTAGAGAAAATACGGTAACTTTAAAAAAATCGACTTAGCTTCTATTACATTAATGAATAGCTTTTCAAGCTGAGAAAAGAAAAGCAAATGGCCGTTCAGATTTCCTTTTTTCTCAAGATTTTTCAGATTTTCATTTAGATCTCTTCAATTTCTGAATTCTGGAAAGAATGGGGAAATGAATAGGAGAGATTTTGAGAGAAATTTTAAGAGAAATACTAGTAATATATATTGATTTTGTAACAAATAAGGTTTTTTTTGAGCTGACCGAACGAACTTTCAGATCTCACTTTGTTAAACTTTCATTTTATAAACAAATTATCAAATTCTTTTAGTTAAGTTAATTTACTGACAATTATATGCTTTAAGAAATGAAAGAAAAAATAGATAAGAACAAACCCGTGGCGAGATTTTCCTCTTTGCTGAGCTCTCATCATCGCTCACTCCCAATTTCACATTCAACGCCGATAAAGCTGACGGGGAATTCGGTGGAGACGCTTGACGAGACATCGAACGCACTGTAAAACAAAGAAAATCAAACTTCTGAATGGGGAATTTGCAGGAATTATGGCTAAGCTTCTAATGATAAAGATTTGATAGATAAACGAACAACTCAAAGGCTTGGTTGAGGCTTATTTCCTATACTTGATACTTAAAAACTCAAAAATCAATATTTCTTAACTAGATTCGTCCGAACTATCTCATTTTGACTTAATTTCAATAAAATCATCGTAAAAACACTCGAGTGAAAAAGCAGATCGACTAGCGGCAATGAGCTGAAAGTTTGGCTGACCGGAAACGGATTACGCATTCTAGAATTTCTCTGAAAACTTGAAAACATTAGCTTTCAATAGGAAAATGTTAAATTTTAATGATGCAAAAAGATTTTCTACGAATCGATCTCCAGAACTCCAAACCCAGCTCAAAAAAAAAAGATTATTATCAAAGATTATTTGAAAGCTTAAAAGAGAAAATTCAGGAGGTGATATTATCGACTTTGTTGGTGAAGAAAAAGAAGAAAAAATTTTTGTATTAGAATTTCTTGAGCCATTCATCAGGATCTCAAAGGGGATTAGTTGGGGAAATCTTCAAGAAAAGAAAAGAAAGAAAAGAAATTTCACAGCAGATATAGCGAATTGTCGGGATTCTTTTGGAAAATGAAAAATTTGATCGATTTTGAATAAATGGAGTAAGCCGGGTAAAATTTCGGATAAGTTACTTTCGTGACAAATTTTGAGTAGACTAAAGGGTTGACAAGTGCAGTTTGATCTTGACCTAAGGCATTCAATCTACTTTTTTTTTGTAAATAAAGCATTGATTAAACAAGAAATCAATTTTCAAAGTGGATTTATGGCAATACAATAATCAAACTAACAAACGAATCAAACCCATTTTTCTTAAACAAAAGCGAAAAAAGCTCTCAAGATGTAACACCAGCCGACTTGAAATTAGGTGCGTTAAAAACGTTTTACCTCTGAGTTTTCTCTTTTAAGCTTTCAAATAATATCGACTAATATCCAAAAAATATCGACTTTGGGTTAAATTTGAATATTTTTGGTGCCTCAAGGTAATAGGTAATAGGTTAAAAACGTTTTACCTCTGAGTTTTCTCTTTTAAGCTTTCAAATAATCTTCTTTTGAGCTGAGTTTGGAGTTCTGGAGATCGATTCGTAGAGAATCTTTTTGCATCATTAAAATTATCATTCTCCTATTGAAAGCTAATGTTTTCAAGTTTTCAGAGAAATTCTAGAATGCGTAATCCGTTTCCGGTCATTTTTCATGCTTGTCGCTAACTGGCCAAGAGTCCTGTATCATAGCCAAAAGGTCAAGGGTTCAACCCCGCCTGCTAGATTATTTCTCATAACTATTCGTTTTCCTATAGGCTTAGCGATGCTTTTGTATTCTTTTTACAACATTATTCGTGTAAATAGATTTTCTATTTGTTAAACAAACAACAGAATATCCAAAAAAATATCCAAAATTTAATATTTCCGGCGCCTCAAGGTAATAGGTATGGTGAAAAAGTGATTTTTTTTGAGATCAGCATGTTTTTTCATGATTTTCACCATATTATAACTCCCAATACATGAAATTTCTGAGCCACCATAAGACTTTGCCATAAACTTAAAACTTTTTACTGGCATCTTCATCTCATATTAGAGTTATGATATAAATTAAGATTTTTCGCCAAAAACTTAATTCATTATATGATAATCTGCCATACATAATAGATTCAACTCGCCTTTTTTTTAAAGAAGTATCCTTGTTTTCAAGGAAACGTTGATTAATAAAGTGTATGGTTTAAATTTGTAGTTATCCTAATAGTATTTATTATGTACCGACGCCAAGTAGCAAGTTTTAATTTTATGGCGAAAGTCTCATGGTGGTGACAATGGTGGGGTTGAACCCTTGACCTTTCGACTATAATACAGGACTCTTGGCCATTTTTATGGCAAAAGTCTCATGGTGGCTCAGAAATTTCCTGTATCGGGAGTCCATGATATGGTGAAAATCATGAAAAAAAACATCGAAATTACCCGACCTCAAAAAAAAGCATTTTTGCACCATACCTTGAGCCATCGGAAATATTTTTAGTTTAACCCAAAGTGGATTTTTTTTTGGGCATCCTGTATTCCCCTTCTTAACCCCAAAATTACCACCAACTCGATAAGAATGCCGGCTTTGTGCGCTCAAGTTTTCGCCGTTGATCGCTCATTGGGAATAAAGTTAATAAAAAGAATAACAAAACAATCAATTGTGCAATATTTTCAGTATTCACTTCTTTGAGTAATTAGTCTGAAAACTCACCAAAATCAGATTGCCTTCTCCACATAAAACGGTGATTTCCGTTTTCTTCTGAGTCGATCGATCCAGAAATACTCCATGGCATTTGAGAAAGGAAAAAGAAGAAACAAAGCTATAGAAACGATAAATTACATAAAAATTGAAAAAGAAATCTGTTTATATTACCAAAAGCTTCAAAATTTGATTATTTTTAAAGCTGACAAGTCAAAGCTCACAACGGAAAGCCAAATTTTTGCAATCAGAGCTTTTACTATCAAAAGAGAGTAGGCGTTTTTAATTATATTTCAAAAATCAAAAAAAAATTAGATGTATTAAGGTTTGTAGCGGATCTACACATTTTTTTTTCATCTCAGCTACAATTCTTCTTCTTTTTGTTGCTTCTCGCGTGACATTCCCAAAAGTTTTCCTTTCCAACCACCTTCATATATTGAATAAAGAAAAACAACGATTCTCATTTGATTTGAGCTCTAAAGCAATAGAATTTATGGATTTCTTTCTCTTAATCTTGAAACATTGAAGAACTTTATTAGCTTTAAAATCGGTAATTAGATGTTGTATGATCTATATTTTGTCAAGCCTTATAACCATTCCATTCTTCAACTCAATCTAAAGTTATTCAAGCCATTTAATATATAGATATAAAGATTTCCAACCACCTTCATTAAAAACGAAAAACAACGGTTCTCATTTGATTTGAGCTCTAAAGCAATAGAATTTATGGATTTCTTTCTCTTAATCTTGAAACATTGAAGAACTTTATTAGCTTTAAAATCGGTAATTTGATGTTGTATGATCTATGTTTTGTCAAGCCTTATAACCATTCCATTCTTCAACTCAATCTAAAGCTATTCAAGCCATTTAATATATAGATATAAAGATTTTATATCTTTATATATATAACGATAATATTATATACATATTGTGCATTGGTGCTTGAAAAATAATGAACAAGAATTGTATCTACCTACAGTACTGGACAATGAAATATGATATTTGAAAAAACGATCGTCACTTTCGCGCGTCTGTAACTCCCTTGTCTTTGAGTTTAAACTATTAGTGTTATACATTTTCTAAAAGCTCTTTTCAAGGGCTACACAATGGTAATATTAATATTTGGAAATACGGTAAAGACAAGGGAGTTACAGACGCGCGAAAGTGACGATCGTTTTTTCAAATATGATATTTCATTGTCCAGTAGTGTAAGTGCGCATTGTAGCCTAAACCTCGTGTCGAGAAATCATTATGTAGCCCATGAAAAGAGCTTTCAGAAAATGTATAACACTAATAGTTTAAACACAAAGACAAGAGAGTTACAGACGCGCGAAAGTGACGATCTTTTTTCAAATATCATATTTCATTGTTCAGTAGTGTACTTCACTAAATCATTTAACATTCACGTTTCTCTGAAAAATGTTTAATTTTTAAATATTCAACTTTCACACTTGAACACTTCTATAATGATCTTTGAAATTGAGGCCAAACATTGAGTTCTGAATTATAGAAGCTATCTTAATTCAAAAAGAAATAGTGATCTTCTCAGTTAATCCCAGCTCAAACTGTTAAACTTTTTGAAATTAGAACTCTTGAATCATCTTTATTTAGTTTGTAAAAGTTTTTGTTTGTTCTCTTTCTAAACCTTTTCATTGCCAATTATTTATTTTCAACCTCCACTTCCAGCTGACAGTTCTTTCCCTCAATTGGTTCCCATGGAAACGCCCGCCATCAACCCCGCCAACCCCGACAATCGTTTGTGTTTCGATTTCAAAAACTCCCCCTAACCCAATAATTATCGTAAACTTTATCCCCCAATTTCCTCCATATCAATCCCCATTTTTCTTTTCCCCTTCAGATTTCCTTTCTCTGCAAGAAGTTCTCTCACTTCCACTTTCTTCTCAACGTTCCTCTCTCAACTCTCCATCATTTCCCGAGTTCTCAACAATGTCCTCCACTAAAATGACGGCTTATAACGAGAAGACTGTACGAGGAATGTTCATCTATTTATCTAAAAAGGTATTTGTTTTGATGTTATTCCAAATAAGGCTTAGGCTTAGGCTCAGGCTTAGGCTTAAGCTCAGGCTCAGGCTCAGGCTTAGGCTCAGGCTTAGGCTTAGGCCTAGGCTAAGTACTAAGCTCGAGTTCACGATTAGTTCAATAGGTTAAGTAATCATAAGCTAATAGTGCGCTTAAAAGTAGCAAGGGTGGTGAATTTACTATAAAATAAATTAAGCACTATATCAGATACAAAGAAAGATACAAAAAACGATATCTATTTATAAAACACTTTCCAGATCGGCATCCCATCAGAAACCGAACTTCACTGCGTCGAATGGAATCACAACACGAACTTTATAGCTGCCGGTGGAACGAATGGAATCTTGAAAATTGTAAAGTTGGCTCCAATCGAGACACCGGGACAAGGGAAAGGTAAATGATTAATGAAATTAAATCAAATAATGCCCCGTTTAGCTACAACAACAGCCAAAGGTCGAGGCGATCCAAAAGGACTCGCTACACCGACGAATTTATCTGTCAATCAGAATTTAGAAGGACACACAGGTACTCGCAAAAATCACTGCTTTCTCATACAACTTTAGGTACTGTAATCTGTGCCTCGTGGAACGAAATGTATCAAAAATTGACGACAAGTGACTCAAATGGATTAATCATCGTTTGGAGTTTACACAATGAGAGCTGGTTTGGTGGAAATTGAGAACTTAAACCTTTCCAAAATAAACTTTAAAGTCGCAAATTGTATTTTTAGGTATGAAGAGATGATCAACAACAGAAATAAATCGATGGTGGTCGGGATGGCGTGGAGTATTGATGGATCGAGGATCGCGATCGCGTATCAAGATGGTAGTTTTATAGATTATCGAAAATATTATTATCAAATTGATCTTTATTATCAAACTAATGCCTTAAAACTTTCCTATCTTTTAGGTCAAGTAATCGTGGGCACAATGGACGGGAATCGAGTGTGGAACAAGGAATTGCCCAGTCAGCTGGCTGCTTGTTGTGTAAGAGAAGCTGATTTTTTTTTGTACTAAAAAATACTAAAAAATAAATACTTCAGTGGACTCACGATGGATCCTCACTCCTTTTCGGTCTCGTTGATGGAGAAGTTCATGCTTATGACAGTCAAGGAAATTTTCTGGTAGTGAAGAGTCATTTAAAAACTTTCCAAGTTTAGCAAAAACTTCACATGGTTGCGCTAGAGAATGTGGAATTGGAAACAGCATTAGCAAGTGAGAATCTTCTTTTTTTGAGATTTTTGCTTAACCCTAAAAAGAAGCAAGATTTTATCACCAGTGGAATTTTATCGAGACTTTAACCACCGAATCAACCATCGGTCTTGGCTAACTGGCTAAGAGCCTTGTTTCTTAGTCGGAAGGTCGAGGGTTCAAACCCGTGCGATGCCTTTTTGGTTCTTTTTTTCATAGAGATGGTTTTTTTTCCTACATTTAGGACTTATGGTTTGTGCTTGTGTACTGTTTATATCACATTATACGTTTAAATACATATCTTTAGAGGATCTACGAAGAGACAAAATCGTTTCCCTTCGATGGTGGGCACCGGTGCCGAAAACGAAATATATCGAATCGGGAAGTGAGCTTTAAAAATCGATAATGTTCTAGATTTTTGTATAAAATTGCATTTGAATTGTCTAGAATCATAGAATTTGTTTTACCATAGATTCTAGGCATTCAACACCGTCAAACTCAAATGTTCAACCGACCACAGGGTGAAGGAGCAGCGCCTAGATTGCCGAGACAACAAACTTTTGATGGGGTTAAAGAGTTTAACAAGTTTAGATGAAATCTGAGTAGATAGATATAGTAATGAGCATCAAAGCTTAATAAAATCTAAGTTCTGCTTATTGTAATTATAATTGTTCCCAATTCCCAGGTGGCTGAGGTTCGTGGCGATGCTCGACCCCGTCTCCTTATCGCTTACGAGCACGGTGTTATTCAATTGATGAGAAATGAAAGTGATACAAGTAAATAGATTATTTTTAAACATGTAAACTCAAATCTCTAGATTCAATCCTCGTCCGTCTTCCACAAATGTCAATTTCCTGCGCGGCGTGGGCTCCAAACGGAGGTTTCCTCTCAGTGACCGGTCAACAAATGGATCTCCCACAAAATGATCGAAATGTTGTCATATTTTTGACAGCATATGGACAAGTTAGTGAAAAGAAAATTGTTTTCTTGTGTTCTAGATAATGTTTTAGAAATTACGACTTCTTAAAGTGCAAGGGATTTCACTGACGAGTTGTGCTTGGGATCCAACGGGTCTCCGAGTTGCTCTCTCCGTCGATAGTAATATCTATTTTGCGAATATTCGACCGGATTACATTGTAAGAATTGAATTAAGAATTATCTTAAGATTTACTATCATTTCTAGTGGGGTTACTGTAGTCAAACGGTTGTTTATGCGCATGAGACTGATCGAGGAGAGTTCCGTGTGGTCTTCTTCGACACACAACAAGAAGAGTTCTACTCGAAACCGGTAATGACAAATATTCTATTTGATTTTTGATCTGCCAAGCTAATTTCTCATTCCCAGGTTCGTTTCCTTGAAGCGATCACCTGTTTCGATGAGTACTGTGTGATTGGGAGTCGAGCCGAAGACGGACATGGATCTTTTCTCTGTCAGTTGTGCAATGGAATGGGCACACCGCTAGATTTTAAGGTGAGTAAGGCTAAAGCTTTGACCGTTTGACATCTGACTTGACGCAAGGGACAGCAGCTAACGTTAAAAGCTAAAAGTTATAGCTGTTTCAAAGCCACAGCCATAAATTGGTAGGTGAAGACTAGGAAGATCGAATGGTAGATCTGAAAAAGCACATTGAAGTCTCACAAAGTGAAATCATCTGATTACATTAGAGATTAGATGGACTTGCTAGACTCTACGTACAGAGTGGCCCATAATTATAGGTACAAAAAGCTTTGTAGGTGTAGGTAGATAAAATTAAACTTTAGGGAGTAAACTTTACTTTAAAATCTCTCTTATATAAAAGAACAATAAATCGGCAATGAAATTCAAAGCGATCACCATACTACTTGGTCAGCACCGTGGACACGATTCCTAAACGCTTGACAGCATGCTTGACTAAGTAGACGGTGCTGGTGCTGACCAAGTAGTCAAGCATGCTGTCAAGCGTTTAGGAAACGTGTCCACGGTGCTGACCAAGTAGTAAAGTAAAAAAAATGAATGACAAAGGATTTGGAACCGAGGGGAATTGAAATCTCGATCTTCTGCTTACCGGGCAGATCTACCACTGAGCTATTTTTGACCGAGAAGTAATGGGGAAGACAAGGAAGAAAGAAAGAAAGAGATAAGCATCACTTTCGTCTTAAGGACAAAATAATCCATCGGATTGAGATCCGGTGAGCTGGGTCATTCAGAAAAAGAGATATCGGAAAACTTTTTTTTGCAAAAGTTTTAGACTTTCTTGGCTTTGTGGGCCGAAGCTCTGTCTTGTTGGAATGTCTAAATTTAATTTTTGAAATGCTTTTGTGCCCGGTGCCCAAATTTCAGCTTTAAAGAGATCGAGATAATAAGCTATATAACTATGACCACTCTGTTAAATGATCTTTAATCTGAGAAATGTTTTCAGTACACCGAAGTCCGTCCGCTGAACATCGCGATGAACGGAGTGGCTTGTGTGATCGCCTCTGAAGACAGTTTCTACATTTGGCATTTCAATCTACCCAAGAAAAGCTCTCTCAACTATATCTCTTTACAAAAACCGTCTACAGAACAAGACATGTGAAAGATTTTCAAGATTACGATCGAATTTTGATCTTTTAGAGTCCATTTTCTTGATGGTGGACCTCAAAATTCGTTCAATCCACAAAGAAAAAAGGTTTCCGACAATTGTATGACTGTAAATTTGTTCTTGTTCTTTTAGAAAGCAAATGATGGAATTTGTTCGATTGCTATTGCTGATACTTATTTTATTATGGTGAAATTCTTGAAAAAAAAACCTAGAATTGAAGTTAATGAATGATTTTAGGCAACGGAAAGCGGTTCTCTCTATAAATTTGCTCTTTCTGATGGAACTCGATTAGGAAAATTTCCAATACTTGCAAATATTGAGAAGGTTTTTTAATAAACAAAAGAATAAATAAGATTTTCGATTTATTTTAGATGTATTTTAATTGCAATTACACAAAATTGGCAATTGTCAATCATCATGCGAATATGAGATTGTTTGAAGTGAATGATGATGCTTTTTCATCAATTCCAGGGATTGAGAGGAGAGATGTTTGGAATCTCAAATGGGATCATGTAAATCATCAAATTTCTGCCATTAACTTAAAAGAATTTCAGGAAAAAGATGACACAATGGCTGTGATGGAGAAAACTCGATTGATTGTGATTAGAGGGAAAGACACTGAAGAACCTGTTGTTTCTTCTGGGTTTGGAAAGTTGAGACGTTAAAGAAAAAGCTTTTTCTTTTAGCTACATAGCATCTTTCAAAGGTCTCACTGTGAGAACTGTACTAGTTGATCAGTTTTTGCAACACCCTGACAATCCTGAGAAGAAATTTGTGATTGATATTGAAGTAAAGGTAGGAATCTTGAAGATTTAGAGATTCAGAATGATCAAAATTCACAGAAATCTTTAGGCTCTTCGTGACGCAAAATATCTCCTTGACAAGATGAAAGTTTCTGAGGCAACAGCTTACATTGAAAGAAATCCACATCCAAGATTATGGTAAGAATTATTGGTAGAAACAGAATTTTACTATAGCTAGAACGGGAAAAGAGCCAAACTGCCTTTCTGTGTTGGGCTAGAGTCTTGAATTAGTTAAGTTATCTTATCTTTGTTATTTAGGTCTCTTCTTGCTGAAGTTGCGTTGAATAAGAGCGATCTCACAACAGCTGAACACGCCTATGTTATGCTTAAAGACTATCATGGATTACAATTTTGCAAAAGAGCTGCGAAAATTGATGTAAGTTGTAGAAAAATAAGGGATAAGGCACTCTGGTGGATACATGCCGGTAGTTCATTGGTAGAGCGTTCGCCTACCGTTTGTTCAGTAGGCGAGAGGTCGAGGGATCGAATCCAGGCGCCGATCTTTTTGTCTTCCTAGCTTCAACTCCTAAAAGGACCAGCGTGTCTAACTTGAACGGTCTGATCAAAGATCAAAAGTTAGTAGAGTAACGAAGAGCTTTATCTAGACATTATTCTTGGTGAAAACTAGGTCAGAACATAAGTCTTGTCAAGGCTTTTGGATTTCTTTTGTGAGCTTTATCTAGATCAATTTGTGCTCCTAGCCTTGCCCGAACAAGCGAAGCAAGGCTAGAACCGCTTTTTGGATTTAAATTTCTATTGTGTTCCTCAAATTATCAAATTCTAAAGCTTTCAGAACCCTCAAATCCGGCAAGCTGAAATCTATGCTCATTTGGGTCGTTTGGATGAAGCTGAGCAGCTATTTATGCAAGCAGATAGAAGGTAAAAAAGAAAAAAAAAATAATAGAATAACTTCTTTTCAGAGATCTAGCCATTGATATGTATAAAACGTATCAAGATTGGTTCCGAATTTTGAAAATCTTGCAAACGAGCAGTGGACCTGGAGATGATGCATTGTTGAGACAGATCTATGACAAATTGGGAGACTATTTCTTCGAGAGACAAAAATGGTTATGCAAAATTTATTATATAAGTATAAAAATTTCTAGGCAAAACGCTATCCCACATTATGAGCAATCGAAAAATATGGAACAATTGTTTAAATGCTATTTGATGTTAGATGATTATAATAGTTTACGACATTTGGCAACTCAATTGCCTGATGCACATCCATTGCTTATTGTAAGTCGATTAGAGTTCGTTTTTTGTACTTTTCCAATATCGAGGGAGCAAATTTTGCCCCCTGCATTTCCAGGAGTGTGTTTTAACTGCAATGTTTTTTTTTTTAAAAACTTTAACGACGATGCGCTTCTCCGACATTTGTGGAAATGAATACAATCCCTTTTTACAGTTAATTTGTGATTGCTAGAAAGGTTTTTGTTTCGGTTACTTCGTTTACATTTGTTCGTTCGGGATTGTGGAGCGTTCGGCAAAAAAAGAGAAGGGGATCGATAGGGAAGGTAGAGGTACAGTACTGGACAATGAAATATGATATTTGAAAAAAGATCGTCACTTTCGCGCGTCTGTAACTCCCTTGTCTTTGAGTTTAAACTATTAATGTTATACATTTTCTGAAAGCTCTTTTCAAGGGCTACACAATGGTAATATTAATATTTAGAAATACGGTAAAGACAAGGGAGTTACAGACGCGCGAAAGTGACGACCGTTTTTCAAATATGATATTTCATTGTCCAGTAGTGTGGGTTTGGTGTTAGATATTTAAGTCACTTTTGTGATCTGATATAAAGGTTGTGAGAATAACGGGTAATTCGCGGATTCTATGATGGTAATTTGTAGAATATAGGGCATATGTAGCGCTGGCAAAATTTGCTCCCCTGATTTTCCTTTCGCTCCCCCGATATTGGAAAAGTACCAATCTCGCTTGTGAATTGAGCGAACTTTACCTAGAAATCATGAAGATTCTTGAGTTAATCAATTTTCCCATTCTCTCAGGAATTAGCCGAACTCTTTGGAAACGCTGGACTCTGTGAATTGTCGGTGGAGAATTATCTTCGATGCGATCGTCTCAATGATGCTTTAGATATTTGTATTCAGTTGAATCAATGGGAAAAGGTCACTAAACTTTTTCAGAAATCAGAGATGATGCGTAGAAAAAGTATCAGATTCTAAACGAAATCAATTTCCGCATTTACCTTTAAACAATCATTTCAGGCAGTCACTTTATCCAGAACGCACAATCTACGCGATGTTGACAGTCTTTTGGGAAAGTATGCCGAAGATTTAACGGGAAGCAATGAAAGAACACTGGCTGCTGTGCAATTGTATCGAAGAGCTGGAAGATATTTGCAAGCGGCAAAGATTGTTTTCGAGGTAAAAAAGGGAGAAATTGAGTCTATTAAAGAAAAAAAGGTTACATAAAAAATGTGTAAAGACAATTCTCTACTATCTACAGGGAAATGATAGCAACAACTTTTTGCTATCATTGGGAAGTGCCTAATTTATTTTAGAAGTATCAAGTGTTATGTAGAGGATTGTAGCCTTAATTCTTGGCAACATTTATCTACAAAAAGCTTCTCGATTAGACTTCTACAACTCATTTAACAAGCGCTTCTAAAGAAAACTAAAGAAAACATTGTTAACTGTAGGTAAGCTAGTAGACACGGGAAAATTCGAAGCCAAACCAAATTCCACCTTTGTTTTACTTAGCCGATTGCTCTGAAATCTTGTCTACTGATAGCAATTTTCAGCTTGTAGACAAAATTTCAGAGTAATCGGCCAAGAAACGGTTAAAAAAACGAAGATGGAAATAGGTTCGGATTGGAATTAATAGCTAAAAGTACCGGGTGATCTTTATCTTAACAATAACTTTTTGAAAAAGTAGTTAGGCCAACGACAACGGGCATCTCCTTTACAGCGAACTGCGCTCCTTTACAGCGAATCAAGTTTAAATTTTCGTTACCAGTTCAACTAAAACAGTTAAATGTTATTCTTAATGTTATTAAGTGATGCTAGACGCTATTTTTGCTTTAAAAAAATTATTGAAAAGCTTTTCTAAACAATTTTTTGATAGAGAAAAGTGATTAAATCAGAGATTCGATGGAGAGGTCGACTAGCGTTCATTCAAGCGCTTGTTAAATGATTTATAGAAGTCTAATCGAGAAGTTTTTTATAGATAAATGTTGCCAAGAATTAAGGCTACAATCCTCTACATAACACTTGATACTTCTAAAATAAATTAGGCACTTCCAAACTACTTTTTCAAAAAGTTATTGTTAAGATAAAGATCACCCGGTACTTTTAGCTATTAATTCCAATCCGAACCTATTTCCATCTTCGTTTTTTTAACCGTTTCTTGGCCGATTACTCTGAAATTTTGTCTACAAGCTGAAAATTGCTATCAGTAGACAAGATTTCAGAGCAATCGGCTAAGTAAAACAAAGGTGGAATTGGGTTTGGCTTCGAATTTTCCCCGTGTCTACTAGCTTACCTACAGTTAACAATGTTTTCTTTAGATTGCTGATGATGAGCGTCGAAGAACAGCCTCTCTATTACGATTGAAGAAATTATATGTATTGGGTGCATTGATGATCGAAGAATATCATCAACAACAACGCGCAAAGCTTGCAGAAGCTGAGAGAAAAAAGGACAAAAATGCGGATGAGGTAAAAGCTTGAAAAACTAAAGCTATTTATTGTATAGAGTTTAATTCTAAGAGGAAATAAAGAAAGAAAGATTTTAGGCAAAAATCGCGTTATCCGGTTTATTGGCGGAGGACATTTCGGTGAACCTTGAAGAGTCACGAATGATCGACAATGCTTGGAGAGGAGCTGAAGCTTACCATTTCTTCATGTTAGCACAAAGACAATTGTATCGAGGTAATTTGCAGATTAAAGTTTCCATTTATAAAAGCTAAAAAGGAATTGAACTGAATTGAATCAAGTTTTTGCAAACCTTTAGGGAACGCTGATGCGGCCATGAAAACCGCCTACTATCTGATCGATTTTGATGATATTCTGGACTCGATTGAAGTCTACACATTGCTAGGTAGATTTTTTTTGAAGATTTATAGATTACAGTTAAGAATTTTAGCTCTGACAAGCTGTGTAACGAAACAGTTCTCCGTTGCGAGTCGGGCTTTTATGAAATTGGACTCGTTGAATGAGTTGACGGAAGAAGAAAAAGATTCGTATCGAAAATTGGCTATTAAGATTTTTAGCAAGTAAATTTCATTGAATTTTAGCTTTTAGCCAAATTCATAGCTTCTTTTTTAGATATCCACCGACTGATACAGTTCCAAATATGATTGGTTGTATTAATTGTGATCAATCGATTCCCGATTACTCGAATATTTGTCCACAATGTGATATCAGAGTGAGTTTTGGTTCAGTCAAAGTTCATCCAAGCATAGTTACACTACTGGACAATGAAATGACACTACTAAAATAAGATTTATATAATATGTTTCCTGGATCTGTTTCCCTTCATTTACACTACTGAACAATGAAATATCATATTTGAAAAAACGATCGTCACTTTCGCGCGTCTGTAACTCCCTTGTCTTTACCGTATTTCTAAATATTAATATTACCATTGTGTAGCCCTTGAAAAGAGCTTTCAGAAATGGTATAACACTAATAGTTTAAACTCAAAGACAAGGGAGTTACAGACGCGCGAAAGTGACGATCTTTTTTCAAATATCATATTTCATTGTCCAGTACTGTAGCTTCTAAGTCTAAAATGTGTCAACTTTTAAAAGTTACCGTAGTCTATTTACTTTTACTTTCATTTACTAGGTTACAAAGAGCATTTAAAGATATAAAAATAGATAGATTAGACTACGGTACAAGATTACGGTAGCTTTGAAAGTTGACACGTTTTAGAAAACAGTTTATTCAAGAGGTTTATGTGATGGAAAAGGATGAAAAAGGTTCAACACTTTTTCATCTTTTTCGCTTCTATCAATTGCTAAATATTCATCATCAGTTAAACTAACCAAAACTTTCTCTCTCCAATCTTCAGATCCCGATGTGTGTCGTCACTGGAAAACCCTTGTTCGACTACCAATTCTGGCTCTGCCCCAATTGCAAGCATCGTGCTTACGAGCAACACATTGGCAATATAAAGTTTTGCCCTTTATGCCATCATGAAATCGCGTAATCTCCATTTACACTCTTTTGCTTTGTGTTCATTCTGTTACCGGTTTTCTTTCATTTTTCTGTAACTCCATTGTTACCATTGAATTTCTAATAAATTTGCGAGGCGAGAGTGAAAAAAAAGGAAGAAAAAGCTTAGAGTGGTTCTAAAAGGAAAAGGAAGAAGAGAGAGGTGATGAAAAGGTTTCCCCTTCACTCACACGTGGAAGGAGATGGGAGAGATGAAAAGAGGAAAAGAAAAGGAGGGGTTGAGATGTCTGAGGAATGTCATTTTCCACCACGTCTGAAGGGGGAAAGGGGTGAAGCTCCTCAGAAGGCCGTATGTGTTTGGTGCGAATTCGGGAAAGGAAAAGGGAATGGAAGAGGGGAGCCTGAGTGCCGAAGCTTTTGCTTAAAAAGGGGAGGCCAAAGGGCGAAGGGGAATCCGATGTGGAAGCTCTGGCCGGGGGTTCATTGATTCGGGCATCGAGGCCTCGAGGCCCAAATAGAGGAGAGAACCTCAAGGAGTGAAAAGGGGGAGAGAGTGCGGCTGAGGAAAGGCTTGAGGTGAGTAGAGACAAGAAGATGAAACATGTGGAGAGTTGAAAAGGGTTTAGAGAGTTGAATGCTGTGGAGAAGTTGAAGAAATCCTTTTCCTGGAAGAGAATTCGACTGAAAGGCAAGGAAAAGGAGATTGAGAAGGAATAAAGAGTAAGAAGAGAGTCTAGGAGACTAGATGAAGCTGAGAATGAGAAGTATGCTCGTGGGAGGACAAGGAGCAGACTAAACAAGTCAATAGCAAGAATAGATAGATTCTAGAGGATCTAGACATTCAAGCAGTCCATAGAGATTCTGAAACCCATAGAGATTTCTAGTTGCCAGATCTAGAGAATCAAGGAAACCCTGGAGCTTCTAGACAAGTGGATCCCCTCCGAGAGAGTATGCCCATTGCAGACACCCGATAGATTCCCTCCACCCTCATCTCAGCCTTATGTCTCTTCCTCCTGTCGGGTCCCTCTTTAGGGAATCGTCTTCCTTTCTCTCTTTTCTTTTCCCCTTTTCCCCGCGCGCTCCACCCGCTTTATAGCCGGGCGTTTATAGTGGTGCTCCATCTCTTCTTCCCCCTCATCTGGGATTCCCCCTCTTGCACTAAGAGATCGATTGAATTGATGGTGTTAGATGGATGCCATGATGATATTCTTTGCTAAACTTGACACAATGAAACTCTGACTTTCTTTCTTTGACCAATACTGCTACTTTAAGCCAAACTCTGGGCAAATTCTTGGTGTTGAACTCGAGCGTGAAACTTGAACCCGAGCCTGTCGAGATTTTAACTTATTTTTGTACTTTGCATCACAGTTGACCATATTTTGTACCGAACTACTGATAATCTTTTGTTAGATTTTTATTTAAGCCATTAGCTTTTAGTGGTTCATTTTGACTTCAAATCGACAACTATTTGCTTCAGTTTTAGCTACAATTTATTTAAAAAAACCCCTTTCCTTTTTAAATTCTACGCTCGATTACCCAACACCTTGCTCTGTGGTCCACAATTTTGCATCATTTTTGATGAAATTTCACTTTCCTACTTGTTAGAATATGTTTAAGGCCGTATTCAGACGACTTCCAATCAATATTCAGTCAATCTCTTCCATCTATCAATTGTAAAATTTCAGCTAAAGCTTGGCACGGACTTTTTCCCACCACAAATCCTCTATCCTTACCTCTCCACGTTTTGCCCCCGTCAAACTAATCAAAATTCAGATCCTCCAACGAGAGTTCAGTCGAAAATTTCTTTTCTTGCACTGTGTCGTCATCGGGGCTTGAGAGAAAACAGAAATCTTTTGTCTAGATTCAACTAATTTACCTAAAAGGGCTCTAAATCGATCAACTTTGAGAAGATCGATTAGCTTTAGAAAGTCCAGCTATCAGCTCAAAAACCCAGTTAATTTCTGAATCGTTAAAACTTTATTGATCAAGCTGGATTAGGGTTCTAGTTGAACATTTTTGTGGTTTTGGATTAGAACTAGGTCAAAGGCAGCCAGGCAGGAGTTGTTCCAAAACCATCTTTTTCTGAATTAGGCAAGGTCTGGTTTTCGACCTTGTCTGCTTTATTTGGCTTACTTTCCTGGCCAAAAAAAAGTGTCTGCACTCAAAGCTAGACCTAAAACATTGCTTTTTTGAATTACAGAACCAGGGTTCAATTGGAATACAAGGTCCAGGTCAGTTCAGCAGTGAGATCAAACGCAGTCAGTACTCACAATCATTATGCCATCTTGAAAATCTTAATTCCAGGATTTCGACTACTGCTTAATGCTTGCTTTGAAGAGTTTCCTTTCACTTATTTAAAAATAGCTTTTTCTATCACCTTTTGTAATCTAAAAACTTCAAAAACCCATAGCTTTACTTTGACAAAAAAACCCGTAAATTACACATCCTGTAAAGCGAAATCTCGGAGAAAAGGGGATATTTCATTTGTTTGGATCGAATTAGAGAGCGATTCAGTAAAAAAAAAGGAGCATTTGCCCCCCTTTCCTCCTTCAAAAGCCCGTACCCATTCTTTCCCAAAAAAAAAGATTCATTCCATTGTCATGATTGCTATCCATTCACCTTTATGAACCCACCACAGACATCTCTTTTTCCCCCTTTCCCATTTTTGTCCTCCTCGTTTTTCTATTGCTTTTCTTGGTCTTGAGTCCTCTTCTCTCTCTCTCTCTCTTTTTTGCCGAGCTTTCCCCTCAAATTTCTTTGTCTTTACATTTTGCGGCTAGGTGACATCGATTTTTAGGAGGCTTCTTCTTTGAGGAATTCAAGTTTTTTGAAAAGTTCTGTAGATGGATTGAGTAAATCCACGGAAATCTCTTATTGATCTACTTGTGAACAAATAGTAGAGCATGTTTTTTTGAAAGCTTTTCGCAGATTTTGAGACGATTTTTAAAACTCGTTTGATTGATAAAAGTGGTAATCAATCAATTTTCTTTGAATTGACAAAGCTATGGATCACTTTAGAGCCTAGTTTTTTTCTGTTTTTTCTTTTTTAAACGGAAAGCCATGGCTTTGGCTTTGGCTAGTTTTTGAATTTGTTAATTTTTGTCTACATTTTCTACAAGTTCGAATAAGTTGATCATTAGCAATTTCGATTTTCAATTTGATCAGTTTTTCTGGAATATTTTTGATCATTTCATTTCCCCTTTATTCCAATCACATTTCCAGGATTGAGTACCATTGAGTGGAGAGAGAGCTGAGTGCGAGTGTGTTGTCCTCTTTTATTCCTGATCTGATCTCTCTATTCATCCCTTTATTTGATCATCTCGAGCCGCTCGGATGTTTCTTCTTCAATCACTGTCAGTGTTGTCAATTCACAGACAGTCAGCACGTTTGTCCCTTCGATTCTCTCTATAGAATGCCGGGGGGAAATTCAACGAGAGATGCGACGCCGCCGTCCTCCCGAAGAAAACGAAGAAGAACAGCAAAGAGTGAGACAAGAAAAGCCAGAAAAGCAGAAAAGGCAACGAGACGAGATCAATAGTGATCTCGAGAAGCCTTCCACTTCTACAACTCAACAATCAACTGTTAGGTGAGTCAAGGATTGGTCTTCAAGGATATTCTAAGTTTAATCAATTGTCAAAACAAAACCTAGACTTGATAAAAGTCTATGCGTAAGACGATTGGGTATAAGGAAAATCTGCTCATTCAAACTAATTCCATATTTCTTTCAGAAATCACATTTCTCGTGTGCACCGTCGTTTCGTTCAAGTTCTCATCTGGGTGCATTTCGGCTCGTTGATTGCGTGTGCGGCGGCGGGACTGCAGGGATCTCGTGAGGGAAGTGAGGGAGGACATTCATCAACAGATCGAAGAGGGATCCACGGTGGACCGGGTCCTCCCTTGATATCTTCATCATCATTTTCAACCTCTCCCTCATCACTTCCTCCCTCGACAATGACCTCTCCTCGTCCGCCTCTCCCTTTCGCTCGTCTCATCCGCACGCGACCACAAACCGACCCACAAACGCCAAATATGAGCTATTTCTGGCAAGAAGACAGGTGATTTATATCTAGAGCAAAGTAGATTTAACATAGATATCATTTCTTATTCTTAACATTTGTAAAACTCTCAACTAAGATCAGCAGTCTGATCAGCAAGCTGATGATTCTTTGATAAGTTTTTTTTCAATGATGTTTTGATAAACATTTCTAACAATTTCCAACAATTTCCCCATTTCCAGATCACCGCACCATATGTGTTCCTTTGAATATCCGAATCGGACATCATTTCTGAATGCGACCTACCTCTTCCAGGAAAATCATCCGATCTCCATTTGGGAGGTTTTCTCGGGCAGTGCGTCTGCTAGGGGAGATTTCTCTTGGGAGGATGTAAGTTCAGAAAGAAAATGACTTAAGAATAACAAGCTGAATATCTAAAGTTTAAATTTAAGTAATAAACAATCAGCTTCATTTGTGGGCTAAAATGAGCTAAAGAATGTAAACGGTCGACTTTTTTCGTCTTGTAAAGTTGTAAAGTTTTTTCGTAAAGTTCGTTAGACTTTTCTGGGCTGTAAAGTTTTAAACTTTGAACACATTGAGACGATGGACAATTGTAAATTAGAATTAAGAACATTTTCTCATTTATTCTCATTTAAGAAACTCATTTATTCTTTCCAGAATCGGTTACGATTAAAAGAAGGCGTTCAAGGAGCTGATTGTGTTTATGGTTCTTATAATAATGTGAGTGTTTTATTGATAAATAATAGATAATTGATGATAAAAATCAATTAATTAGATAATTAAATATCTATTAATATATATTATCTTAGTATTTAATCAATATGCAAATTTCAAAGCCTATTTTAAAGCCTTATAATAATGTGAGTGTCTTATTGATAAATAATTGATAATTGATAATAAAAATCGATTAATTAGATAATTAAATATGTAATTAATATGTATTATCTTAGTATTCAAGCAATCTGCAAATTTCAAAGCCTATTTTAGTGTATGCGGTGCTTTTCGCGGGTTCGTGCCTCTCTCGGTCGTCTTTCAGATGCCTATAATGTTTTTTCTAAAACTTTACACAGGTTAGTTAATAGAAAATTCGTATTATAAGATAATAGTCTATAGTTTTTCTGCAAATTTCCCCCCTTTCTAGATTTGATTGTATGAAAGCAGTGGACACGGCCACTGCCACGCGTCCTTTTTCTCCAAACGGGTCCTGTGAACATTGCAAGGTTAGTTAATATAAAGATTTTATTCATTTTTCTATATTTCTATCTAATTTCCATCCTTTCTAAACTCTTCTTTACTTCAAGAATTCAAAAATAAACCTCTCTTTTTTTAATGGTGATCAATCATTTTGAGCTTTTTGAGCTGTGAGCCTTTTTCGAGATGAGTTACCTAGATGAGTTACTTCTTTAAGAATTGAAAATAAAGTAGAGAATCTTAAAGTTAAATAAAGTAGAGAATCTTCAAATAGAAACCTAATCGAGAAGTTTAAAATATTAAATTATAGATTTTTTAATAAATAAACATTAAGAAATTAATCAATTACACAACTGAAAAGCTCAATTCAATCAATTTATTTATTGTCTTTTGCTCAAAAAGTTTAAGAAGTTTAAGTTTAACTCTTGAGAAGTTACTTAATAATTAGTTTAAGCTATATAAATTACAAAATCCTTTAGCTTTTCATACCAATCAATCAATCAATCGATTTGATTTTCAAATCAAGCAAACTCTAACCTCAATATCCATCCATTTGATCTATTCAATCTCCTTGATTATTAAACCAAAAATTCCATCAAAACTTTCTAAAACTTATTGACAATCTGTAACTATGCCCAATCTTTAGCCCATCTCAATATTGTCCAAAAAAAAGCCATTTGTATCACTTCGATATGCACGAAACCAGGGCCATCCCAAAAAAAAAGCGGAGAAAGACGAGAGAGAGAGAGGAGCACTCAAAGTTGTGGGTGGATGTGGGGAGGATCGGGGGGTCATCAATTTTGGATGTGGGCTGGGGGGAGGCAAGGGGTAAGGCTCGGATGGGGAAGGGCCCACGGCCCTTCCAGCAAGCCGGGATGTGCGGCGGGATGGAGGTTTCTCGCCTTCGGAGCTCCTTTCTCCCACAAGTGATGCGCTCTTCCCACAGATGCGAAGAGAAAACCCCTTCCTAAGGCTCTTCCAAGTTTTTCCCCTTCTCTTCTCTTCTCTAGTTCTCCTTTCTCCTCTAAATTGTTCGTAGTTGCCGTCCCTCCCGGCTTCGTTTTGGCGATTCCCCTCTCTGAGGGGTGATCAGTGGAATGATGAAAGAAATAGTTTACTTTAAACTAATAGAGAAAGTGTTTTGTATAAGAATTGTTAAAGAATTGTTTAAGACTGTTTAAGAATTGTTTAAGAGCCGTTTAAGAAAGGTTAGTAAAGTAAAAATCAATTCCTAACCGCTTTTAACCTTTCCTAGTCTATTTGAAACAATTTTGTTAGAACAATCTTGATTCTAATGTTAGAATTCGTCTCTCTTGTCTCCTCTAAACACATAGATTTCATTTATCTCTATTTTAAACTAGAAATTTTCATAAAGATTTAGGAAAAAGAACGATAGGAAAGTATAGGAAAGGAAAATAGGAAAGAATTTGAATTGAGCTGGTTGAATGACAGATAACCCAAACGATCACTCATCAACTTAAACTAAATCTTTTCTTAACAATTCCCAATTGTGTTAGGGTTTCTGTTTTTTTTTCTTTTTGAGAATTCTCTAAACGAAAGACCCCATTCATGTGACGTAGCCGCTCTCTTTTCCCATGAAATTTTTCACAAAGCCCAAATGGAGCAAAGAGGCTCAAAAAAACGAGTCATCCGCCTAAAAAAAGAACTAAATTTGACCAGCCTTACTTAGGTTCTATCCAAAAATAGCTAGTTCATGACAAAATTTAAGCTTTTATCCAAAAATAGCTTCAATTTTGCCATGAACTAGCTATTTTTGGAAATTTGGGACTAGAGATTGTAAACAAAGAGATTGTAAACAATTTTGTGTTTTGAATGTTTTATGAAACTTGGGACAAACTGAGATAAACTTATATGAAAAAAACTCTTTGTCTAAAAGAATTTGGACTACAGCTCCTAGAGTTTGGCACGCTGATTCTTTTATTGTAACTCATCTATGTTAAATCTACTCTGCTCTAGATATAGATCACCTGTCTTCTTGCCAGAAATAGCTCATATTTGGCGTTTGTGGTCGCGTGCGGACGATCCATAACTGGGAATACAAAAACCTGGTCGTCATTTGTACAAGATTGTACCTGTACTACTTGGATTTCTATGAAAAGCTTTTACAAAACAGATAACGAAGTTGTCTTCAAACACTTCAAACCATTGTTGTTGACTATTTCTAGCAGAAAATGACGTTTAAAAACTACAACTATGTGTAACTACGTCTACACATTTTGATAATAATATAAAAGTATTTTTAGAACATTTCCTTTCACTTTTTTTGTTTAGCAAAGAACAAAAAAAATAAGCATTGACCTCATCCCGCGTTGATCCACCCACAAAATGACTTCAAAAAAAGGGAAAAAGAAGAGTTTAATTGCTTTTTTTGAAATTGTAGATGTAGAATGGGGAATCTAGTATGAGAAATTTTTAGATCAAACAAAAATGGGAACAGTTTTGACAAGAAAGAGAGGTTTTTGAATGACAAATCAACAGATTTTTGATAGTTTTATGATTGCAATTTACTTTTAGGTTATTTTACAATCTAAGCTTTTGATTTATCTAACAACATTTGATAATAAGATAATAGGATTTGTAAATTTATGCTCAGTATTCTGAGAAGCTTCAAGCTTCTAGATTCATCTCCTTTTCCATTTTTCAAAACCAAAGAACTTAGAGGTGACTTTTCTCTTGGCAAGTTAAGGTACTGGAGCAATTGGTTAAAGCAATTGGTTGGAGCAATTGGTTAAAGCAATTGGTTAAAGCAATTGCTGGAGCAATTGGTTAAAGCAATTGGTTAAAGCAATTGCTTAGAATTGATTAGAGCAATTGTTTAGAATTAGTTAGAGCAAAGTAAAAGATCGAGCCTTCAATCCCCTATCCGAAAATCTACTTTCTCTTCCCAATTCCTTCACTTCTCTGATCTGAAATCGAAGCTCTTGATTACTTGCTGAGAGGACAAAAACAACTTATAACAAAATTTGCTTTAACTATAAATATCAGTCAGGTCAACTAGTCTAAGATGAGCGATTTCCCCTCTCTTTTCCCTTTTCAAACTCATCGTTTTCCATGTTGCGAGAACATTTTTCACCTTCACTAACTCTTGTCCAAAATGGTCTCTTTCCTTTCATCCAAAAGAAGCATTCGATTTTTCGAGCGCGCAACGACCAGTTTCAAATTTGATTCCGCCACGCACTTATCGCGCAAACTCTTCCCTTCCCCAAAAAGTCCCATCTTTTAAGAAAAAAAAAGAGAATGAGAAGGGGTTGAAAGATTTAAAATGAAAAGAAATACACATAAGATATATTCGTTAACGGTTAGCCAATTACGAATCATTCGTTAACGGCTATCGAAAAATTTCATTCGTAATCGGCTAGCCGTTAACGAATGATTCGTTAGTGGCTAGATTTAAAATGGAAAGAAATACACATAAGATATAGCAAATCTGTTTCTATTTATCTCTTAAAGCTGCATTTGATTATTTATAAATCGTCTAACACTGAAAGAAATTATGAAATAAAACACAATTTCACAAATGTATGTTTAAAGTTAAAGTACAGTAACGGGATAACAGGACAAATGTAGATATGTCGTAGCCATTTACGAAATTCAGCGGTTAGTGAATGATTCGTAATCGGCTAGCCGTTTATGAATCATTTGTAAACGGCTATCGAAAAATTTTATTCGTAATCGGCTAGCCGTTAACGAATGATTCGTTAGTGGCTAGATTTAAAATGGAAAGAAATACACATAAGATATATTCGTTAACGGTTAACCAATTACGAATCATTCGTTAACGGTTAGCCAATTACGACTCATTCGTTAACGGCTATCGAAAAACTTCATTCGTAATCGGCTAGCCGTTAACGAATGATTCGTTAGTCGCTAGATTTAAAATGGAAAGAAATACACATAAGATATATTCGTTAACGATTAGCCAATTACAAATCATTCGTTAACGGCTATCGAAAAATTTCATTCGGCTGAATAAACGGCTGAATTTCGTAAACGGCTACGACATATAAATGTGTTTCTAATTCTAGAAGAAAAGGAAAATCCAAATTGATATTTAAAACCTATTCAAGAGAATTAAATAATTAAATAAATTTGAACTTTCAGACGTGGTACGGTCGTTGGTTATTGGTGCATTTGGTGGATGTCTGGATGCGTCCACCTTGTATCAATTGGTGTTATTATGCGCAACTCGCGTGTCCCCATCTAGCCACATCAAAAGTCGTCGACTATGCCGGTCATCCTAGCTTTCAGTGCAGAGGTTGGTTATCTTTTTTATCGGTTACTGTTTTTTTTTTAAAACTTCACTCATCTTTCACTGACGAGTTACCGAAGATTTTCCAGTTTCAATTTTTTCCACAGATTTTCTTTGATTATTTCACTTCAAGAACGATTTACTCTCATTTTCTTATTAAGAAAATAGTTTGCTAAGATTTTTCACCCTTATTTTAGTTCTGCTAAACTATTTAGCTGAAAATTACCCCCTAAATTCTTTCTTTTCTTCAATTTTTCAAACTCTGTACTCTTTTTTTTGCTTTAGCTTTAGATTTAATCACTTCAAATAATCTTTCATCAATTTAAAAGCTCTATTAACTTTTTTCTTTGACTAGGATTGCAAATGAACGACTCTAGTCAAGTGATTCGAAAGAGCTGTTAGCCTAATGATTAGAGAAAAGAATTTGAAATTCTAGGAAGAGAATGTGAAAAGAAGAAAACTCTCAAATAGGGGTTAGGGGTTAAGAAAAAAAAGGGACCACGAACTCCTCAAGATTCTCGAAAACCAAAAAAATTTCCCCGAAGAGAGTACCCAAGGAAGGAAGTCTCCCTCTAGATTCTAGACTGAGAAAAGAAAAGGCTGAGAGTTGGCCCATCCCCTTTTTTTCAGATATCTTTCCCTTATCCCTTTTCCTTTTTCATTCTTCTGCCAGATGGAGGGGCGATCAATGACCCGTCGCCAACACTCGTCCTCTTTTCACTCTTCCCCACATATCTTCATTGTCTCTCGTTTTTGAGCACAAGAAATCCAAGGGAAAGAGGTCTCCAAGCATTCTTCTGAGGGAGAAAATGATGAGGGTGACACCCACAAACGGGCTTGATGAGTGTCTCGCATTAGAAAATAAGGAAAGGGGGAAAGGGAAAGGATTTCAAGCTGACTTTGATGAGATTTTTCGTCAGGAAATGGATAAAAAGGCGAGAGCAAGATTTGGTCATGAAAGCTTCATATAGAAATTGACAAAAAAAAAAGCCAAAACCTAGAGAACTTTTGAGTAGTTTCTTAGCTTTTCAAATCACGCTTTCCTTCACCGTTTTTTTTTGTCAGCTTTATATGCCAGTAGTCAAGATGAAAACTATTCAGTCAAAAATTTCTTTTCTAAACTTTTCAATTCAACCCTGCATAGGCCAAAATCGTTTTCCCATTCCTAGCAATAACTAAATGATGCATGCAGCCTAATCAAACACAATTTTCAGATATGCACATCCCAGTCGGTGATACAGTTGATGCCTACTCTTGCAATTGTGTTCATCCGTGTGATGTCAGAGGAGTCGTCTCAATAAGTGAGTACAGGGGATACAGGGAAATACAATTGAATCCAGAGTAAGGCATAAGTTTGGCTGCAATGGGATACGTGTCTGTGTAGATCATTGGTAAGCGAGAGGTTGCGGGTTCGAATCCCGGTGCCGACCAGGTTTTGTATTCCCAGTCCCGATCCATAAAAGAATCGGCGTACCAAACTCTAGGAGCTGAAAGCTAGGCCAAGTAGAAGCCAGATCCAGGTCTAGCTTTCAGTTCAGAGACCAGAAACACTCCCAGTTTCATGATCAGTTCAGAGGCAGAAACAAAATCTGGTTTTGCCTAGCTCAACTGATCCAGAAAATTGTCTTGTCTTTGGAGTAACTATGAACTAAAGCAAACAGGAAACTCTTTAGAATCAGGCTCTGGATCGGGGAATAAACGAAGTGAGAACGATTTCTTCGCCGCTAACGAACACTGTCGAGCGAGACGGAGAAATTGCAAGAACACTAATCACGATAGAGGGAAACAACAAAATGGTTTGTGTTTGGATCATTTCCATGACTGAAATCAGATTGAAGCCGTTTTCTTTTGTTTGTAAGCAAAAGATTCGCCACTAATTATATCCATTTCCTGAGTCACACTTCAAAAAGTAACATAGTGCAAATCTATGCTAAACTTTGTTATGGCAAAGCATCTGGAGCATTCAATGAGTCTAGATTTTTGTACTTTCATCTATACCTATAGCATACTTACCGTAAATACTGTAATAGTACCTCACCCCCCTCGTACAGTCGCGTAGTCGCAAGAGTTTTTTAGTATTTCATTTTTTTTCAAAGCGCCCATATTTTCAAAAAATGTGTCTTTGGTATCAAAAAATAGCTGAAATTCAGGGCTATTTTTTGATATCTAAGCGCGCATTGTAGCATAAACCAGTGTCGAGAAAAACTCGTTCAAAGCTAGACTACGCAACACTCCACACCGTCATTATGGGGATGGGGTACTATTACAGTATTTACGGTATATGTTTCCTTGATGTTGATGATACAATTTGAGTAGTTGACGAGGTTGATTTTAACAATTATTTAAACAAACAAAATATTGGACAATTCTTTCGAAAACAAAAGTTCTACAACGAATTTTACTAAAGAAAAACAATGCTGTGAAATGGCAAACAAATAGGGAAGGCTTTAGAAAAGAGAAAAGACAAATAAATAATCTATGGGAAATGATTATCAAATAACTATTATCCCCTGGCAGTTCATCAATCAATTTGCAGGTTCATCGCGAAGTGGTTCCATCACTTCCACATCCAAATCAATCGATCGTTCAACTCGTCTCCTTATTTTATCCATTTTGTTCATTTCATTTCACCAATCCCGTCAAATCATAGGATTCTCATAGGATATTGTTTAGAAATCATGAATTTTAAATGAATTCTTGCATTCTTGACCATTTCTTGGTCAATCTCTTCTCCTTTTTTTTTTTCCATTTCCTCACCTCAGTTTCCACTTTTGGTGCCTAGTCTTTAACTCATTATTTGCCACAAATTTTTGAATTTCTCTTGTTCTTTTCTCTATTCCGATTTCAAAAAAAAACCCCGATATGCTCAGTTTTTGAAAATTGACGATAGAAATCCGTAAATCTCTGTAAATCAGATCTTTGAAAATACTTTCGCAAGTACTTTGTGCGTAAAAACACACCCTTTCTAGCGCACTGAATTGATTTTAGTTTCAATTTTTCATTTGCTAAAGAAATGACGGCTCAGTGCGATAGAAAGAGCGGCGTTTTCTCTATTGAGCACAAAATTCACAGAAAGATAAAGCCTTATATAAAAACGTAAATGCAAGTCATCTAGTGCACAAAGTTCTTTTGATAATTGACAAATCTCATGCACTAGATTCATTGCTTTTACATAAAAAAGATTCACAATCACCATTCTCATCTCATCTCAAATTTTCCCGGTTTTCCCGAAAGATTCCCCCCCCTGTAACTGCCATTTTATTTTTTTTTTCTTCAAATTTTTAAAATTAAAATTTCTTCTCATCACTGTGATTTCCTCCCCACCTTTTATATTTTATTTTTGTTAGATTTTTGAATTTTCTTTAACAAAAGAAACTTTTCTAAAACTTTTCACCCAATCAACTTTACGCCTTTACATTGTCATTGTCTCTTTGAATTTTGAAAACGGAAATTTTTGGCAACCAAAAGCCAGCAGAACTAGCAGAACGCTTTAGAAATTTGAAAAATGATTGTCAGAAACGAACTCACTGTATTCGAAAACCCCACCATGGAAATTGGCGCAGTGGATAGTGGACTCTGGTTTGACCCACGCCAGTGATCACCTAGTTTGACCTAGTGAATAGCGCGCTTGCCCCAAGCGCACTCTGGTTCGACCCACGTCAGTGACCACCTAGTTTGACTTTTGGCAAAACCTTTTTGAAAGACACAACTACATGAAATTTCATTAGACATGTGTTTTAACGTTTTTTAAAATAATCAAAGGAGACGCCCGTAGTGCGCGCACAAACGGACGGTGTTTATTTTTTATAGTAGAGACAAAAGCTTTCTAAAACTTTTCGCCTTTACATTACCATTGTCTTTTTATTTAAAGCGGAAACTTTTGACAATGAGCAGCGTTCTGTTAGCAAAGCGTCCAGCGAAGTGGTTAGCAAGCTAGACTCCGCATCCCAACTCTTCCAGGTTCGAGCTTTTCTAGCCGAGCTTTTCTTTTGCCAAAAATTTCTCAAATCTTATGCGAAACTTTTTAAAGGGTTTATTTGAGCTCTCCTTTAGGTAATAACTCTTGATTTTGTTTTTAGGAAGCTTTTTCTTTTTTATTTTTAACAAACAAACAAAACAAATGCCGACACAGATTCCAATAATTATTCTGTTTCAATTGTTTTCACAAATTCTATATATTTTTTTAATATCTTTTGCTCTTTTCTTGCCAAAGAGAAATTATTCGATTTTTTTTTTTATTTTTGATAATCTTTTTCGAGGTTCTAATAAAATTTTCTCGATTTTTGCAGTGCAATCTCGAACAATGCAGAATACAAAAAAAAATCAATGAATTTTCATCATATCATATCAGAGAAATAATGACGAGGAAATTGGTAATAAAAGAAACATTAAAAGTATTTTTCTGAAGAGGAAAATTGCGAGATAAGAGGGAAATCATTGTTTTAAAATTAAAGATTTCTACTCGTTTTTGTCTAGTTTTTACAAAAAATTTCAATTTTTGCATTTTCTAGAGTTTTTCCTTAAGCAAATTTTGATTGTAAGATGTACTTTGGGTTGAAAACTGAAAACAAACCATTTCTCATGCAATCAATTTGTTATTCCATCTTCATTTATCAATAATACAAAAATATAAGTAAATTTATGTGTTTTAAGCTCTAAATGTTCAGAAGAACAAAGAAAAAAAATGATTTTTTTGGCAACCAAAATTGGGACGAAATTTTTGGCAACCAAAAGCCAGCAGAACTAGCAGAACGCTTTAGAAATTGTAAAAATGATTGTCAGAAACGAACTCACTGTATTCGAAAACCCCACCATGGAAATTGGCGCAGTGGATAGCGCGCTTGCTTCAAGCGCGCACGATCCTGGTTTGACCCACGCCAGTGACCACCTAGTTTGACCTAGTGGATAGCGCGCTTGCCTCAAGCGCACTCTGGTTCGACCCACGCCAGTGACCACCTACTTTTGGCCTTTTGCAAAAATTTTTTGGAAGATACAACTGCATGAAATTTCATTAGACACGTGTTTTAACGTTCTTTAAAATAATCAAAGGAAACGCCCGTAGTGCGCACACAAACGGACGGTGTTTATTTTTATATAAATTAGAAACAAAAGATTTCCAAAAACTTTTCGCCTTTACATTACCATTGTCTGTTCTATTTAAAGGGGGAACTTTTGACAGCGAAAAGCGTCCTGTTTAGCGAAGTGGTTAGCAGGCTAGACTCCCGAAGCCGTTTTCTTCTGTTTGTAAGCAAAAGATTCGCCACTAATCATATCCATTTCCTGAGTCACACTTCAAAAAGTAACATAGTACTTTTTGAAGTGTGATTATGCTAAACTTTGTTATGGCAAATGCAAAGCATCTGGAGAGGTACTTTGAGTTGAAAACTGAAAACACACCACTTCTCATGCAGTCAATTTTGTTATTTCATCTTCATTTATCAATAATACAAAAATATAAGTAAATTTATGTGTTTTAAGCTCTAAATGTTCATAAGAGCAAAGAAAAAAATGAAAAAAGTTCGAGGAATGATGGAAACTTGAATTTTAAGGTAACAATGAGAAGTCTGATCTCCTTGTCGGTGATCGCTCTCACTTGGGCGCTTGATTGCCCAAGCAATAGTCAGGTTTGTAAGCTTTGTAGAAAAGCTTTGTAGAAAAGCTTTGCAGAAAAGCTTTGGAGAAAAGCTTTGGAGAAAAGCTTTGTAGAAAAGCTTTGTAATTAAATTCAAAACAAATTCTAGGAATTCAATGGATATTGCTATCAAGCATTGGTCGCTTTTCCATCAAATTACACCCAATCTGACACATATTGTGCTGGAAGAGGATTAGCGAACAGTCATTTGGCATCGGTCATGAATCAATTTGAGAATCTTTTCATGGCCAGCCTTTTACCAGGTATTTTGGATTGAATTGAAAAGATTAATTGAAAAGATTCCTTTAAACTTCATCTTTCTTCAGCTGGCACAAAAGCTTTCATCGGTGGAATGCGGGGATCGAATGGAGCTTTCACTTGGTCTGATGGATTGCCGTTTGCGTTTGATAATGTGGACAGTGAGGTTTTAGAGATTAAAACATCAAAAGCAGATCAAAAGCGTTGATCTCATTTTCATTTTTCAAACAATTACATTAAAACATTAAAACCAGGGCTGATCTATTAGATTCTCAATTTCATTCTATCCCAAGAAACCTTTTGGGTTAAAGAGAATGAAATGATCGCGAACTTTAAAGGCACTTTTCCCCAGGCATAAACCCTTCTTTAAATAAACGTTTCATTTCCTCAAAAGGCTTCACTATTTCTCTATAAAATGACTTTTTAGAGATTCCAAAAAGCTTTTCTTTCATCGAGTTTATGAACTCCAAAAACAAAGCTAATCAAAATGGCAATTTTGACTCATCGTTTAAACAGTTTCTTCCAAATAAACCTCTTTTAGTGTCTTTAGAAAGATAGAGCACAAGGAATTACATAAGTTGCCAAATTTTCATCAAGATCCCTTCAACCGTTTTCTCTAAATGATAGTTTATAGGTTTTGTGGAAAAATGGCTTTGAGCTGAGGCACTGTTTGAGTTCTCTTTTAAATGTGATTTTGTAGAGAATTAGTTAACCTTTCTACTGATATCAAACGCTTATCATTTGACAAAATTTGCAGAAGTTTTAGAAGTTTAGAAGTTTTCTTTGTTTCTCTTCAAACCAATAAATTCCCAGGAACTACAAATGGTGGACCATGTTTGGTTTTGGATCAAGTGTCGAAGAAATGGCAACAAGTCAATTGCTCGGATGGATACGCTTTCATTTGCAAAATCACTGAAACCCCACCATTCGTCATTTCAAATAGCACTGGATTTAAGGTAACTAAAACTATATAAAGATATTGGGTTGGTCAATTGAAAACTGCGGGAACTTTGAACTAAAATTTATTGAACATAAAACCATAAATTCATTCCAAATAATTTCCAGTATTATTGACGACTTCTGCCCATTTTACAGGCAATTTGTGGATTCCTCTTTCTGCGTAGGATTTTGGTTTTGAATCGAAAAACTTTCAAAGCCAATTTTTGACTGCTGCTTCCGAATCGAAGTGTTCTCCCGCAAGCTCATGGTCCGGAATAAATAGTAATCAGAAGGGGCAAGGTCCGGACTGTATGGGGGATGTGCCAAAAGTTCCCAATCAGGGCTGTTTATTTTAGAGCTAGTCAGTTTTGCAATGACAAAGAATGGTAGATTCAAATTAAAAGAAAGAAAAGGAAATTTTAGTAAAAAATTAAGAACAAATTGAAGTGAAAATATTGGGTTGGTGAATTGAAAACTGCGGGACTTTGAACTAAAATTTATTGAACATAAAACCATAAATTCATTCCAAATGATTTCCATTATTATTGACGACTTCTGCCCATTTTACAGGCAATTTGCGGATTCCTCTTTCTGCGTAGGATTTTGGTTTGTGTGTGAGACAAGTGTGAGACTCAAAAATGAAGGACTGGAGATGTCCCAGTTTGAGCACTTTCTTCAAAAGAAACCCATTTTGGTGTCAATAGAAAAGTTGTAGAGAATCAAAAATGAGGCTTATAGCCAAATTTCCAAAAAGATACACTTAGTAGTTTCGCTTAAAATGCAAGTTTTGTGAAAATTTGTCAATTTGGCATTTCTCGAAAACCAGTTTTTGAATCGTTCTGAAAATTTGGATATAAGCTTGATTTTTGATTCTCTACAACTTTTCCATTGACACCAAAATGGGTTTCTTTTGGAGAAAGTGCTCAAACTGTCACATATGACAATAGCCCGCAGTTTTCAATTCACCAACCCAATAGATTGAAATTAGCCTTGATTTGGGGAGAAGTCAATGTCCAATTTGAGGTTTCGGAGCCGGCCAGATTAGTTTGGTCAAGCCAGAGGGAAGGGGGTTATGTAAAAGCCCTGCGCCAGACGACGAGCGATTACGCGGCCGCACAATGTGTTCTTTGTTCACAGAACACACAAATTTTAAGCGAAACTACCAAGTGTATCTTTTTGAAAATTTGGATATAAGCTTGTCTTTTGATTCTCTACAACTTTTCCATTGACACCAAAATGGGTTTCTTTTGAAGAAAGTGCTCAAACTGTCACATATGACAATAGCTCGCAGTTTTCAATTCACCAATATAAATAAAGAAGTAAATTTTCACAGAAAGCCGCCGACTATTTGCTGAGAGGAATGGACCCGAGTGCGAATCCATGTAAGAAAAATCATAACAGAAAAAGATCTATTTTAATTTTCCTATTTTTAGGTGAAGACTTTTATCAATTCACTTGTGGTACTTTCTTGAACAACACCGATTTGAATGGAAGATCGAGGTGGAGTGAGAGACTTTTAAAAGCTCAAACTATAACTATAACTCTAAATGTGATAACAAAATCGATTTTTTCTATAAGTTTAGAGTCGGAATCTATGACGAATCGCAAACAGAAGTCAATCGACAAACATCGGTTGCTTTAGATGCGGTCACTTCGAGCTCATCGCTTACAGAAAGGATCACGAAAGCTGTGAGTTTTCGAATTTCAAAGAATAGTACAAACTTTTTACTTTAAACAACTTCCTACTAGTGTTTGATTACGGTAGTTTTAATGCCTTTTAGAAAATGCTTTAAGCAAGAGTGGGACATTTGATTGCCACCCCCTTTGCCATTGGCAATCCAACTTTGAGCTCAAATTTCTTGGTGTTGGGCTTTTCAATTGAAATAGTTTTTGTACCAATCGACAGAGAGAGAATTGACGCATCTAATGGTACCAAGAATATTTATATTGAATAGTCCAAAACCAAGGGAAATGGGCGGACAAATGAACATCCGCCCCTTTTCCTATTGAAAATCTAACTTTGAGCTCAAATTTCTTGGTGTTGAGCCGTCCAATTGAAATACTTTTTATACCAATCGATAGAGAAAGACTTAGTGCATCTAATGATACCAAGAATATTTAAATTGGAAAGCCCAAACCCAAGATACTAGAGCTTAAAGTTAGCTTGCCAATGGGAAAAGGGGCGGCACGCGTATCTAATTTCCGAAAACCTAATGGTCCACTTTCTAAGTCAATATTTCATTGACAGTTTAAACATATTGTAACCAGCAGTAATGTTTATGAATTGAACCTAATTTAGAAATTCTTTTGTCTCACTATAGTGGCTAAACTAGAATATTTCAGTAAACACTTTAAATCTAAAGCTTTTCAGGCCTACAATGCTTGTGTCTACAACTATAATCAAGCTGATGTCGTCGATAAAACACAAACAATCTATCAAGAGATCACCAATGCGTATGTTCAGTTGAATAGAATGAAATGATTTGCAAATCAGCTTTGGCATCACGGATCTTCCTTTCTTCTTGGACCCAAGCTCTCTCTCAATGTTCTCCATTCCCACAACACAAATCTTCTCTGCAGTCGGATATTTTGAGGGCACTCACGCATTGGGGACTCTTCTCTTCTCGTGGTCCACTGTTGACTATCAAAATATTACGCAGAATGCACTGTTTATGGATCAGGTTAAGAAATTATCGTAAAAAAACGAAGAAATATTCAATCAATTCCAGCCAGGCCTTCCCCTCCCCCGTGACTACTACGTTAAACCGCAATTCTTGACAAAAATCGAAGATCACGTTCAAGAATATGCTGATGTGAGTTAAAAGAACGAAAAATTTGTCATCATTTTTTGTTTGTCATCATTGTTATCAAATCTTTTAGCTAATCTCACTTGTTGCTGCAAATTTGGGCAAAACGGTGGACCCAAATGCAATCTATCAGGTAATTTGGATGATTTAGCCCGCGCATTTCATTTCCAAATCCATTTCCAGATGGCTGCCGATGTTGTAAACTTTGAAATCTCAATTGCTGTTGCTTCATTACCAGATGAGGAAGAGAGAAATTATCGACAAATGTACAATCCATATACAATTGATGGACTGAGACAAGCCTATCCGAACATTGAATGGACTGCTTATTTTGAGTAAATTTAAGTAAAAATTCATTTAAAAAACCCATTTCCAGCAAATTGTTGAAAAATGTCGGCCTTACGAACTCGATTTTCCAATCAAAAGAGGCGATTGTTGATGAGCCGACGTATTTCGCGTGGTTGAACTCACTGTTTTCTGGGAAAAGTGTCTCATCAGCTACAATTGTCAACTATATTGCTGTTCAAGCTATCTATGTGAGCCAGATAAAGCTGATAAAGCCAGAGAAAGCCAGATAAAGCTTTGAGATAAAGCTGTTTTAGAGATTTAAGAATATAGAGATTAAATCTTGCAGGACTCAGCCGATTTCCTCGGTGACAGTTTCGCTTTATTGGCCGAGAAGAACAACCGTTTACCTTATTTGATGCAACATGGAATCGGTTTGGGAAGAATTGGAGCACGAGAAGGAAGAAGAAAATTCGATTTTGTTGGGGATTTCTGTTTAGATATTATCATGGCTTATATGCCTTATGGACCAGGTGAATCATCAAAATAATATGAAAAGATTTGTTGCTAACTTACCCTACCTTTTTAAAGTTTTATCACCGGTTACGGTAGCTTTACGCTTCTTTTAGAAAACAGGCCAGTGTTTAGGATACGTTTACGTGAAACAAATCGGTGATGCAACTCGTAAAGCTACGGTAGCCGATGTCACCATTCAAACAAATGGAATCATCAGCTCGTTCAAGGTAACTTTTAAGATAATTGTATAGATATTGGCAAAAGAATTGGCGGCAAGAGGAGTCGAACTCGTAGCCTCTCTACCGTTCGTTTGAGAGACGAGCGCATTAACCACTCGCCTGAGATCCGTTGATCACTTGGCTACTCGGCTATCTTGGGAGGCGTTAACCACTCGGCCATGGCGCAGTGCGAGCACACTTGTTTCTAGCTGGGTTCGCCTCCCGCCCACGTCAACACTTTTGGTTTTTTAAAAATTTAAAAACAGATTGCACAACTACATGGAGTTCTAAGCCAAACTAACTATAAGTGATCTGAACTGGGCGCGGAGGAGTAGCACAGAGAGACAGACGCAGCTCTTTTATATCTTTTATATATAGTAGATTTCAGGATATGATCGGTACCCTCACTTGGATGACTGACAACAGCAAGAATAACGCGTACAAGAAAGCCGGCGGTTTAATTCAGAACATTGGATGGCCGGATATGTTCAAAGATTTCATGGACACTACGGATTTAGATAATTATCATAAGGTTTAATTCAATTTTATATAAAATTATCAAATTTTAGCCAGACTATGCAAAAATTGCTGATTTGGATCAAACAAAGTATTGGGATATCTTGTTGATCTTGAAAGCTGGAATGGAGAGTCGGGAGAGTTTGAGAAATCTTAATGCACCGGCTGACAGGTGGATTTTATGGATAAGATAAACTCTAATTATAACAGACAAGAAAGCTATATCTATATAGCTCATCTAGAAAGAAGATTTGTATTATTTTTTTAAATATTTCTTTAGAAAAAACTTTATCCAATCACCGGCAATGGTCAATGCTTGGTATCAACCCGAGAGAAACTCGATCACTTTCCCCTTCGCTGCGTTCAATCCGCCATACTACAAGTAAGAAACAAGCTGAACTATTATATTACTATTAAAACTATTTTCTCGTTTTTTAGTCTTGACTGGCCACAAGCGTTTAACTATGGAGGACAGGGTGGAACGGGAGGACACGAATTGACACATGGATATGATGATGAGGGTACGAACCTTTAGCTAACAAGGGGTGTACACTGGACGATCGCCAGACACCCAAGGAGAAGAGAACCGACTAAGTTGATCAAAATTCCACAAAAATTAGCTGATCATACTCACGCAAATGCGAGATATTTGGCATAGAAGTTTTCAATATCTTACTTAAAAAGCTTTTCTTGCGCGACGTCATTGCGAGCTGGTGGCCTAGTGGATAAGGTGTTTATATACGAAGGGAGCTATGTATTTCTTGCTCGAGTTCGAGTCCTTGCATCGTAGATTTTTTTTGATTTTAACGAAACTGACACGAATTGACACATGGATATGATGATGAGGGTAGGAGACAGGAAAACTTGAAATCTTTAGCTAAGGGCTTTCTATGCATTGGCTTTTTATAGACGAGTCAGTCCCACGTTTTAGCAAACAGCTCTTGTTTTCTAAAGCTTGAAATAGCATTGTATCTACGCTTTAGAAAACAAGAGTTATTTGTTAAACGGAACTGACTCGAAAAAGCCAATGTTTAGTGCTTACATGAGCAATTCAGGAGTTCAATTTGGACCCACACAGTCAAATCCAAATCGTCTCCAAAAAAGGGTGGGGGACCCCCCTCCCCTTCCCTTCTCCTCGGTAAATGTCAAAAGGGCTTGGTCCGAAGACGAAAAAAAAGAAAAAACGCTGCGGTTTCGAATGGGTTAAATGAGCAATTCAGGAGTTCAATTTGGACCCGACGGATCTCTATCTGGATGTGATAATTTCCATTGTGGATGGATGGATATGAATTCCACAGCTGGATTCACTGATATGGCACAAGTGAGAAGAAGAACGCAATTTTGAAATCGGGGTTTCATTTTCAGTGTGTTGTCACCCAATACACTACCCAATGTTGTCCAGTGAAGACCGGGAATGTCCATTGCGCGAATGGAGCCACCACTCAAGGAGAGAATATTGCTGATTTGGGAGGTGAGCTGGATCTAGTATTAAACTTACCTAATACAGCTAAAACCAACTAAAGATTGAACTAGTTTCATTTGAGAGTTGATCAAGTTAAAGTTACTGTAGCTCTCATAACACTATTTTGAATGCATCAAAGATACTGTAAGTTATTGTAAAATTACAGGTCAACAAGCCGCTTACCGAGCCTATCGAAGCTATGTGTCAAAGAATTTGAACGCCGTTGAAGAACCCCGTTTGCCTGGATTGGAAGAGTACACACCAAATCAGATCTTCTGGATCAGTTATGGTTTCTCGTGGTGCATGAAACAATCAACGACTTCTTTAGTGAACCAGGTAACTTTAAAACTTTGAGCTTTAAAAGCTCAAAAGTCTAAATGAAAACTCCTTTTCAGATCCTCACCAATCCACACGCGCCAGCCAGTTGTCGAACTAACAACGTGATGCAAGACATTCCTGAGTTTGGACGTGATTTCAGTTGTCCAAGGGGATCATCGATGTACCCGCTAGACTCTAATCGATGCAAAGTTTGGGTCGGACAATAGAAAAACTTCATTTGCAATAAATTATCTCTCTCAAAAACATTAAGTCATCGTTGAAACAAATTGTTTTGGTGGAAGTTGTTGTAAACGTCGTTCACGAAAGAAAACAATACACCAGAGGCTGAAAATAAACAGTTAGAAAGTTAGACAGTTAAAAAATAGAAGTCATACTGGTTAAAGCTAGCTTGAATGAAGCATTGTTAAGCATTTTTGCTGGATAATTTATTTAAACCTTAAACCAAAACGCTTTTCAATCACCAGCCGCCCGTTTTTCCCGGATTTTGCTTGAATCATAGCCGGATTTGTTTGTAAAATGTTGAATTTGATTTCATTCAATAGAAAATTTCATTTCAACTCGAATGAAAGCAAAGAAAATTGGCTAAGAGATGAGGAAAATACAGTCGAACCTCGTTAGTGAACTATGAAAGAGATTCTGAAAGATTTAGAGCCAGATTTAGAGAGATAAGGAGCCAGATTTAGAGAGCGAAGGAACGAAATTTAGAGAAAAACCGTTCAGCTTCAAGGTTTGATTAGTGTAAAGAAATATTCTTTGCGGGGAGTGGGACAAATGCGAGCTTTTTTTTGCGCACCCGGACATTTGCGCACCTTTTTTTCCGCACCTTGCCCATTAGCGCACCTTTTTTCGCGTTTTAAAAAAGCTCTAAAAAGCTAATATTAACCAATTTCTATTCCAAAAGTCTGTTTTTCTAGGTAATTTGAGGGCGTAGAATCGAAATTTTGACATATCAGAGCTTGTGGAAACAAACAAACGGACGGAGTTATACAAAGAGAAAAATCGACAATTTTCTGTAATTTGATCTAGCCGTTTTGTCTTTCAAATTGGTCTTTCAAATTGGTTCCACGCGCTCTGTTATGCCAAAATTTGAATTCGACACCCTCAAATTACCTAGAAAAACAACATTTGGAATAGAAATTGGTGAATATTAGCTTTTTAGAGCTTTTTTAAAACGCGAAAAAAGGTGCGCTAATGGGCAAGGTGCGGAAAAAAAGGTGCGCAAATGTCCGGGTGCGCAAAAAAACCTCGCATTTGTCCCACTCCCGTAAATCGCATCAAATGACCAACAGTTGCCTTATATCGGCTTTAACGCAAGATATTCAGCTAACAAGCTACAAAACAATAAATGAATTGGGACAATAAATAGAATGGAGGTGATTTCCGCAATAATTTTCCAATTTTTAGGCTGTCAGAGTTAGGTAACTTTTTAGTGGCTATTCGCCACAATTAGTACTAAATCAACTCAGAGGAATTCGAAAAAATCCGGTTACTATCAAGGTTCGTTCACTAACGAGGTTTAACTGTACGTAGAAACAGCAAAAACTCACAATGCTCAACTCACCCCTCCATTCCACAAGCCGTCATCCATGCAGCAGTCCAACAAATGAATGAAACCATTTTCGATGTATTCGATAAAACATTTATGATCACTGTGACTGCAGTTGTATCAACGATCACTGTCACATTGTCACACATCATCTGAAAAGCTTTAGCTTTGGGAATTAGGATATTTTAACGAAATTTTTGGGTTTAAAAGATTTAGCACAGATTGCTGTTCGTTAAGTAACGAGTTTTACACCGAATTTGAATAAAATACCGTCATCAAACCGTTAGTTTTCATTCGATCAACTCAATTTTTATATCATTAACTAAGCCTTGTGATTCTTCATCGAATAATACCAAAAATTGAGCTGATTAGTAAGCTGGCAGTTTGATTACGGTACTTTATTAAAATAGATGCATTTTAGACAACGATTTACTTGAGAGAAACAAACCTGCAAGATCAGCGTGTACTCTTTTCTCAATCGGAGCTGTTCCACCCGGATTTGTGTCGACTTTGCTTTCTAAATCTTTTCTAACAAAATAAACTAAAGATAAATATCTAAATTTCATCATCAGCTAACGAAATCGACTCTTTGTTTTCTTTGTTTTCTTTTCTTTAAACAAAAACTCTGTCCTACCTTTCTCCGTTCTCTTACAGAAGCAAAAGTGAATGTATCAAGAAGTGTGCAAACGAGAATCACTCCCCATCCAATATAAGGCTAGAAATTGCTAGAATATTTTCAAAATAAAGTTCTTACTTGAGAAATATTTAAATATTGTTTCCCCCAAACATCATTCTCAATATAGAATCGATTCTCCCCGGCACTTAACCAAACCACTCGAAAACCCGCTGAAAATTTACTGGTAACTTATAAAAGAGATCTTTGATTGAAGAAATTCTTTTCTAAATTTCGATTTTTCAATTCAAATCAATAAAATACCGAAAAACATTGGAGTTGTGACTAATAAAGGATATCCAATTAAGATAATATATTGCCAAAATTGAGCTCTTTCCATGAAAATGTAATAGTGTCCTTTAAAAGCAATAGCCAGAAATCGATTCAATGCCAGGAGAACCGAAAAATGATTGCATTTTGATTTAGGTCAGTTATTTGGCTTTATAAGCAAAATACCTTTGCTATATAGATCACAGAAACAGATCCGAATGCGATAAATCCAAAAATATTGTCGAGAATCGACAAGTTCATGTGACTCAGCCTGGGATGATGACAGGTTTTTCAAAACAAACAAAAAACCAACCAGATTGCTCTGGGGACTCCCCAAAAAAGATGCACTCCATTAATGATTGAGGCGAAGAAAACGATGCACAGACAATAATTTCTGACGATCCCGGTAATAATTGTTGTTTGGCGAAGACATCGAATACCCAGAATACCAGCTGATAGACCAAAGAAACCAAGCTGAAAGTAATTTAGAAACAATTAAGATCTGTTTTTCTTCAGTATTGGGTTTTCCAAAGTGTGTAAACTTTCGAAAATACCGTATTTTTGGACTTGTTTTAACTAGTTTATCTACATTGTGAATTCGCCAAAGATTACGGGAGATTGAAAGAGATCTAGAGCCAAGATCATGGGAGATTGAAAGAGATCTAGAGCCAAGATCACGGGAGACTGAAAGAGATCTAGAGCCAAGGTTACGGAAGATTGAAAGAGATCTAGAGCCAAGATCACGGGAGACTGAAAGAGATCTAGAGCCAAGGTTACGGAAGATTGAAAGAGATCTAGAGCCAAGATTACGATAGTTGAAAAGATGACCCGGTTTAGAAAACGCATAAGCACAATCTATTCATGAAATCATCAAAGAAACCATTTTGCCGTCTTGATATACGGTAGCTGATTCACAAAACTATACTACTTATCTACAAGTTGTTACAAGAAACTTACAATGATAATGATGCTCACTTGTAAGCAATTTTCAAACGACTCAGAAGACATTAGTAAATGAAAAGAAAAATCAGATAATAAACTTTGTTAAATCTATTTTGTAGATCTTGTGTGTCTATTCAAAGAATGACTGAGTTCATTCAGATGATTTCCCTACGGGAATGAGATTCTCTTTTTATAATAATGTTCACTCTTGTACAGAATCATCAATTTACACTGCCATATTCAAATTTTTGAATGAGAATGTGAGATTTTAAGAAAATCTCTTTAAATTTAGCCTCAAAAATTTCAATAAACATATAAACTTTAAGAATTTCGAAAGTTTACCCTTTCTTTTAATCTTCAAAACGTACCGTAAATCCGGTAATAGTACCCTACCGGCATAATGACGGTGCGGCGTGTTGCGTAGTCTAGCTTTGGACGCGTTTTTCTCGACACTGGTTTATGCTACAATGCGCACTAAGATATCAAACAATAGCTGAAATTCAGGGCTATTTTTTTGATATCAAAGACGCATTTTTTGAAAGTAGGATGCTTTGCAAAAAATGAAATACTAAAAAACTTTTGCGACGTGAAACTACGTGACTGTACGAGGGCGGTGGGGTACTATTACAGTATTTACGGTATGGGTTTCCTTGATGTTGTGTACAATTTGAGTAGTTGACGAGGTTGATTTTAACAATTATTTAAACAAACAAATATTGAAAACCAATATCTTTCGAAACAAAGTTCTACAATGAATTTTACTAAAGAAACAATGCTGTGAAATGGCAAACAATAGGGAGGCTTTAGAAAGAGAAAGACAATAATAATCTATGGGAATGTTTCAAATAACTTTTCCCCTGGCGTTCATCAATCAATTTGCAGGTTCATTGCGAGTGGTTCCATCACTTCCACATCCAAATCAATCGATCGTTCAACTCGTCTCCTTATTTTATCCTTTTGTTCTTTCTTTCACCGTGTCGTTGCGTAGTCGGCTTTGAACTAGTTTTTCTCGCCTGGTTTTGCTACTGCGCGCTTGGTATCAAAAATGGTGAATTCAGGGCTATTTTTGATCCAAAGACGCATTTTTTGAAAGTACGGATGCTTTGTAAAAAATGAAATACTAAAAAACTTTTGCTACTACCCGACTGTACGAGGGCGGTGGGGTACTATTACAGTATTTACGGTATGTGATTTGTTTTGGTGAATTGTTGAATTCTGATCGAGTTTTTCTAAGAATAGATCGAATTTTTTGTTCTTTGAAATCCCTTCTTCACTCATTTCTTCATTTATTGATATGTTCTTTTCTTGTTATTCAAAAATAATGCAGAATTTTGGATGAGTTTTAATCTTTCACCTTATCAACTTTTACAAAAATGTAAGACGTATCTCCAAAAGGCCATTGGTTATCTTAATTTAAAAGAAAGGAATTTGATGAGCAACTTTTACAAAAAAGGCATAATAGTTTTTTGCTTAGCTTTTTTATTATACCAGTTTTCTCTAGAAGTAAAGTTTTAATGATAAAATAGATGTTAAATTGGAAGTGTTGTTATGAATCAAATCTTTCTTTTACCCCAAATTTAGGATACTCTTTCGAAAATGATATCGAAAAGGTGGATTTGGACATACCGTATTTTCTCTAATAGTAGTGCACCCCGGCGAATCGAGTTGATTCAACTTTTTCTTTCTGAAATTTGCATTGAAAGCTGTTGACATATGGAAAAGATAGAGATCGACTTTGTCCAATTTCAATTTCTTCAACGAAACCCGGCAAGCCTCTTCGACGTGATCCGGGCGCAAATGGGTCATCCAGAGCTGAAAAAGGAGAAAATTTGAGTAAAATCTCTTATCCAGAGGGCAGGAAAACTTCAAAAAATGGATTAACAACAGCTAAACGGATAACTCTTTCTCAGAACAGAATCCCAAACCTTTGTGGTGATGAAGAGATCATCGCGAGTGACGACACCCTCTTTGATCAACTCCTGAAACGATAAAATTGTTAAAAAAAGATGCACAATTCACAATATACCGTATTTTCTCTAATAGTAGTGCACCCCGTCGAGCCGAGTTGGTGACTATTTTACGGCTTCCAAAGTTTTCCCAGAAGCTCAACACTCAAATCCCCCACAAGATCTCATCGTCAGCTACATTTTCCGACCCCACATCGATAGGTTCTGATAAGCGGTTCTCGAGATTTTGAGGAATTTAGGCGAGGCTCAGGGTGCACTACTATTAGAGAACATACGGTAATCGATTTGACCAAAAAATATTGCTTCAGTTCTGAGAAGAGTATCTTGTGAGTTTTCGAACGAATTTAGCCATATCCTCGATCCATGCCCCTATTTAGTGACGATCGAGCATCCAACCGATCTCCAACGAGATCTACAGTGCGTTTCAAGTCTTCCGCCGCATTCCTTTTTGCGATTCCATAAAACTATTTTAGCTAGTGTTCTGCTTTCTTTTTTATTAGAAACAGCGTAGCTGAAAACCCTAAAAATCCTCCATAAGGGCTACGGTAACTTTCAAAAAAGTAAAATTGATTTCGTTTTATTCTTAAACTTTTAAAAAATTTGCCGTAATTCTTATGAAGGGTTTTTTAGGGTTTTCGGCTTCTTTCTTATAAAAAAGAAACCAAAACACTAGCTAAAATAGTTTTTGGTGGAATCGGTTATTGTACTTGTAAAGTTTTACGTATTTTTGATAGCTATATACCTTTAATAAAACTTTTTGTGATTACAATTTCAAGAAAAAGCATGTGCAGAAAAAGAAGTTTTAGAATTTTTACACCATCAAGCGCAAAACTTTACGATTTACTTCTAAACATGAAATAAAGAATTGAAAAAACGAAAGAATTATGATTTTCAGAATCTCTTTACGAACTTTTCCCTAAGATTTTGCTCTAGAAAACTCAGCAACCCGTTTTGTTGGTGTGATTGCGTCGATTTGTCGATCTTTAAAATTTAATGTCTTCCAAATGGCCAAAGAATCGTTTAGATAAGGAAAACGGGAAGAACACTGGAAAGCGAATCCAGAAAATTGAAATTTCTAGTTTTTCATTTTTATTCATTTAAGAAATTTTAGAAACTCGGTAATAATGCGGAACCTTTTATTTGGGATTCTTTTGTTTCTATCACCGATTTTCGCTTTGAATTGCCCAAACGGGACACAGGTAAGATGAAGTGGTAAAGCTTGGTCGGGCTTTGGCCTGGCTAGAAAAGATCCTGGATCCGTCAAAAGCTTATTGTTAGCTTCTAATTTGACTGACTTGACTATAGTATGTCCCTTCCGAGTAAGTAATTACTCGAGTAAAGTTGATTAATCGATGTTTTTGATCGAGCAACGAGTGAACCTATCTTTTGAATATCTTTACATTTGAAGGGAATTTGCCACCAAATCAGTTAAACGGCTGAATAGCTTTAAAAGGAGTTGTATATAAGTCGAAGCTCGTGATTTTTTTGTTCATTTTTTGGAGAAGGCTAATTTCCACAATTTCTTTTGCGCAACTCGCCATAGCTTTCTTCTAAGTCGGCCAATCTTTATGCTTTTGGTGTTATTTTGTTGCACTTCTTGCTATGCTAAAGTTATGGCGAGTTGCACAAAAGATCCAGTTGACAAGTAGCGCATCCACGCTTTAGAAAGCGCACCGCTCTGTGGCGCAAAAAAAAAATTGCGGAAATTAGCTTACCCCAAAAAATGAACAAAAAAATCTGAAGCGTTGACTTATATACAACTTTAATATCTTTTTAAAGATATTAAAGATAAGTCGTCGCTCGTGATTTTTTTGCAATAATTCTCATCAAAAGGACAATAATTTTTCTGAAGTGTGCGTTTTAAAAAACGCATTACTCGTGAGACCGCCTACGTTCTTCGCGCTACACTCTAGATATAACCGGCTCATCTACCATATCAAACTCTTTCAGGAATTCAATGGTTACTGCTATGAGATGGGGATCTCTCGTTTAATCGATTTTACTTCAGCTGACACTTATTGTTCTGGAAGAGGATTAGGCAATTACAGTCATCTTGCATCGATTATGAACACTTTCGAGAATTCCTATATTCAACAGAATTTACCCGGTTTGTTTATTGGATTGGAACTTAATAAGCTCAATTTTTTAAAGAGTTATCTTATATAGTAATTCCAGTCATAAAAAGCAATTTTTGATAATAAAGCATTTAGCTGGCGCCAAAGCGTGGATCGGTGGTCAACAATTTGGAAATTCATACTCTTGGAATGATGGCCTTCCGTTTTCCTACAACAATGTGAACAGTAAGATAATTAATTTTTGCAATAAATGTCTCCATTCAGCTTCAACAAACGGTGGCTCATGTCTTTTATTTGATAAAGACACCGGGAAATGGCTGAGATCCGATTGCTCAGAGAAGCACTATTTTGTGTGCAAATTGGTCGAAACACCTCCATTCAAAGTCTCAAACAGCACTGGTTTTTATGTAATGTTTGAAAGCAAAAGTTTACAGGGTTTTAATTGGATTTGAAATAACAATTGAAATATTTGCTTGTTTCAAAGCCAATCATTTAGAATGCAGCCGCCTACGTTCTTCGCGGCATTGACCCAACAGCAAATCCGTGTAAGTTTATGAAAATTTATCTATCAAATCGATCAAATTTTAAAGAAAAATTCACTTACAAATGATCACCCTAAAGTCGCGAGTATAAGTTCTGTTTGGTTTTTGCATGCAAATTGACGGCTGTCGCCGGTGCGGTGTGTCGAGGGTTCGAACCCCGCTGCAGCATAACTTTTTTGCTTTTCAAGAACAATAATAGAAGTAAATTTATTGAGGGTTATAGCAATTTTATGCTGTTATTTGTTGCTCCGGGCGTGGCTCGGCGCGTCCGCCCTGCTCCTCTCCGGTGCTCAGTCTTATGGATCCCTCTCTGGCCTCTTCATCTGGCCAAAGTCCACGTCGACGGTCGAAAGAGATGCTTTCCAGCGTCTTCTTCAACACTATCGTCTGGATGTATCCATGCACATAACAAATAGCAATGGTGATAGGCTGTCACCCTGTAGTATCCCGCGCTCCAAGAACAATAATAAAAGTTTATATAACGATAAAAATGTATAAAAACCCAACAAAAAGAAATTCAAAGCAATTAAAGTCAGAAGTCAGCAAATTAAGGCAGAACTTATACTCGAGACTTTAGGGTACAAGTAAGTTTATAGCTGTTTCTTGTAGTTTATCGAATTTGTTCTTTTGCATTTAGGCGAAGATTTCTTCCAGTTCACCTGCGGTACCTACATTGCCAAGACTAAATTGCATGGAGCTGATGCGTTAGTTTAAATCTGATAATTAAATCAATTATATCTTTTGAAGGCTTTTGAATCAATTATAGAATCTAAATTCTTAGATTTCCTAACAAAACCCAACTTTCAGAGTGAGCATTTATGACGAGGCTCAAACGGAGGTGAACAACGAGATTGCGACCGCGCTTGATTCTGTCAATACCGCGAGTTCACTAACGGAAAGAATCACGAAGAATGTAAGTTTGAGAAAATTTCATGAATATCCTATATTTTTCACATGTTTATTCAGGCTTACGATGCTTGCGTCTACAACTACAATCATCGCATCGCCGATCGCTCACAAGTCGTTTATCAGGATATTTTAAAGGGGTAACTTGCTTGAAAGAGAATTGCTTATAGCAAATATAAACTGTAGATAATAAAATAAAATCCAATTTTTGTTTAGCTTTGGTCTCACCGAGCTCCCATTATTCCAAAGTCCAAACACTCCTTTCTCGATCTCGTCCAATCAACTTTGGTCTGCTGTTGGGTATTTTGAGGTAAATGTTTATAAGCTATTCAAAATACTATTCAAATTTTATCTGTCTAAGTTTTCGAATAAGCTACCGTACTCTTTCAGGGCACTCGTGCTGTGGGAACTCTCCTCAACTCGTACTCATCCGTTGACTACAAGAACATTACAAAGAACGCTCTTTTCATGGATCAAGTGGGGTTTTTATAGAATGCGGTGTTTCCCTAATAGTAGTGCACCGTAAGCTTCGCCTAAATTCCTCGAAATCTCGAGAACCGCTTATCAGAACCTATCGATGTGGGGTCGGAAAATGTAGCTGACGGTGAGATCAAGTGGGGGATTTGAGTGTTGAGCTTCTGGAAAACTTAGAAACCGTAAAATAGTCATCAACTCGACTCGGTGGGGTCCACTTCTATTAGAGAGAAAGAGAATAGAACAAGCAGCTTTGGCAGATTATGTGGCTTTGGCTTTGGCAGATTACGGTAACATCTGTGAGGTGATACCTCTTTCTCAGGCATTTAATTTCTAGATTACAATAGTTTTAGCTGAATCCAGTGATCGCCGAACCCCGTGTTTTCTCTAATAGTAGTGCACCGTAAGCTTCGCCTAAATTCCTCGAAATCTCGAGAACCGCTTATCAGAACCGATCGATGTGGGGTCAGAAAATGTAGCTGGCGATGAGATCTAGTGAGGGATTTGAGTGTTGAGCTACTGGGAAAACTTAGAAACTGTAAAATAGTCATCAACTCGGCTCGGCGTAGTGCACTACTATTAGCGGAAATATGGTATTTTCAATTGCAGCTTAAAATATCTATAGCCGGCACTCGAACTCCCGCGAGATTACTATGTGAAGCCGCAATTCTTGACAATCATGGAGGATCACGTTCAAGAATATGCTGAAGTGGGTTACTGTAGTAAAAATCTATCAAAAACTATTTGAGGTCTGTAAAGTGGATAAGTCAATCGCTAAAAATGATTAATAAGCTCTAGACATTTAGCTGATCGAGCTTTGGGCTTCCGATTTGAAGAAAACCGTTGACGATGCCACAATTCAACAGGTAAACAGTAAAATTTCATGTTTTCAATTAATTTTATGTGTAAAATTTATCTAAAATTTTCATTGATAAGTTTTCTATTCTCAAACTCCTTCAGCTGGCTGCTGATGTGGTGAACTTTGAAATCGCGATCGCCACCGCCTCGTGGCCGGATGAACAAATGAGAAATTACCAAAAAATGTACAATCCACATTTTCTCTCCGACCTTCAAGCAGCTTACCCAAAAATTGGATGGAATGACTATTTCAACTGAATCAGGATTCATTATCGTTACAAAAGATTTTAGCAATCTCTTCAAGAGTGCCGGTTTGAGCTCGTCGATTTTGAGCAGCAATGCGGCCATTGTTGGCGAGCCATCATATTTTGCGTGGCTTAACTCAGTTTTTACGGGAAACGTCTACAAACAAGCCACAATTGTCAACTATATCACTATTCAAATGGTTTATGTGAGTGTTTTGAAGAAATTTATAACTTTAATTTTCATTGTCTGAAACTTTACATTGGAGTTGAAAAGTAGCTTTAACTTTGAGGTACTTTTATGGTTTGCAACATTGGAGTTGAAATGTAACTTTAAGTTTGATATTTTTATTTCGATTTCGATAACTTTGATATGTTTCAGGACTCTGTCGATTTCCTAGCTGACAATTTCGATGCTCTTGCCGAGAAGTACAGACAAGTGCGATACATCAGAAGAAGGGGAAGAGGGTTGACTGGAGTTGGATCGAGAAAAATTAGGAGAAAGTTCGATGACACCGATGATTATTGTGTGGATGTGATTATGGATTTTATGCCATACGGGCCAGGTATTATAGTTTTTGGATAACTTTAAGTTGAACTTCTTTTCAGGTTACGTTTATGTGAAACAAATTGGGGACGCGAATCGGAAAGCAGTTGTGGCTGATGTGAGCTCGCAGACAAATGGGATAATCAGCGCTTTCACGGTTGGTAAATTGAAACTTTAATCTTTATATCTAGACCTAAACAAACTATAATTTAAATTCTCTTTAAAGATTTCTTTTATTACATTACGCTCTCATCTAAAAACGCTTGTTTTATAATTTATAGAAGAATTACTTTCCTTAAAAAATGCCTTTTCTAGGGTTTTCGGCCACGCTGAATCGATTAGTAATATTTTTAGAACGTGTTTCTGACGTATTTCTTCCTGTCCGAGACAGATCTAGCTTATGTCCGGTAACAGGCAGCGAGTCTTAAGTCTTAATGCCCGACCAAAAATCGAACGTGATTAAGCATGCTAGACTGCTCGGTCAGTAAACTATATGTGCCGAGCCTTGGCCTAGATAAATAACACGCAAACAACGCGTAAGCGGCAAAGAGGGAGGTACGTAACACGTTTAGCCCGTTACAACACTCGAAGCAGCATCAAGCCTTTGCTCAGCCAGTACTCTGAGCCATAGCCTAGTATAAGCTTAGTGTAGCAAGAAAAGGCTCTGAAAATATTACCAATCGATTTAGCGTGGCCGAAAACCCTAGAAAAACTATTTTTGGCAATTGCCAGAGTCATTTTTGAGGCCCTGCCTACTGCCCCTCCAACCCGTATAGCCCCCAAATCTGTTTACAAGATTAAAAATTATCTCTATAGTTTATTTCTTCAGGATATGATCGGCTCTCTTGATTGGATGACAACAAACAGTAAGAAAAACGCTTACACAAAAGCCGACGGTTTAATCAAAAATGTCGGCTGGCCAGCGATGTTCAAAGATTTTGTTGATACGAGTGATTTGGATAAATATCATCAAGTGAGAAAAGCTTTGTGTTTCGCTTTACAATCATTTTCCAGGATTATGCGGCTATCGCTAATATGAATAAGACCCAATATTGGGATATTCAATTGGTGCTGAAGAGTGCGATTCAAGCGAGAGAAGCGTGGAGATTGTTGAGTGCGCCGGCTGATCGGTGAGGGATAATAAGTGATGATTACTGTAAGACAACAAGCTACTAAAATATACCAAGAGATGTAATTTGTGTAATTTGTAATGCTTGGAGTGTAATTTGTGTTGAAAAATGAATGAAAGCACACCCCTTTCTAGTGCACTCGAAGCCTTATTTGGGTCGCAAAAATGAAGACTCAAGTACGCCAAACAGAGTGTGTTTCCGTGTGTAGCAGAAAGTACTAACTAGAAGAATACGTGTTTTGTACTATACTAGAAATAATACTTATTTTAGCCTATTACTAGCTTATAAGTCTATCATTTAGAACAAATTTCTTGGAATCCCCAGCCGAGGTGAATGCTTGGTACCAACCCGAGCGAAACTCGATCACTTTCCCATATGCCGCTTTCAATCCACCATATTACAAGTGAGTACGGGAATTTATAAATGAATATTATGTTGTTAACGTTTTGGAGGTCAACTTATCACAATCAGTTTAGACTTGATTACCCACAAGCGTTCAACTATGGAGGACAGGGTGGAACGGGAGGACACGAATTGACACATGGTTATGATGATGAGGGTAGGAGACGGGAAAACTGGAAATCTTTAGCAAAGTACCGACTAGACAATGGCACTTTACAGTCCCACGTTTTAGCAAACAGCTCTTGTTTTCTAAAGCTTGAAATAGCATTGTATCTACGCTTTAGAAAACAAGAGTTATTTGTTAAACGGAACTGACTCGAAAAAGCCAATGTTTAGTGCTTACATGAGCAATTCAGGAGTTCAATTTGGACCCGACGGATCTCTATCTGGATGTGATAATTTCCATTGTGGATGGATGGATATGAATTCCACAGCTGGATTCACTGATATGGCACAAGTGAGGGGAAGAACAGCAATTTTGTAATCGGGGTTTCATTTTCAGTGTGTTGTCACCCAATACACTACCCAGTGTTGTCCAGTGAAGACCGGGAATGTCCATTGCGCGAATGGAGCCACCACTCAAGGAGAGAATATTGCTGATTTGGGAGGTGAGTGGTTGGATCTATTGAACTCAAATTCTAAAACTAAAACAAAAGTCAACAGTTTAGGTCAACAAGCCGCCTATCGTGCCTACCGGAACTATGTTGCCAAACAGTTGAGTGGAGTTGAAGAGCCTCGATTGCCCGGATTGGAAGAGTACACACCGAATCAAATCTTTTGGATCAGTTATGGTTTCTCGTGGTGTGAAAAAATCACGCAAGATGCCCTAGTTCAACAGGTAGATTTGAAAGTGATTTTGAGATCAAAAGATAACTTCGATCCATTTCTCATTTCAATTCTTTATCCATTTCAGCTCCTCGTCGATCCCCATGCTCCTTCAGTTTGTCGTGTGAACAACGTGATGCAAGACATTCCCGAATTCGGCCGTGACTTCAGTTGTCCAAAAGGATCGACAATGTATCCACAAGACACAAATCGTTGCAAAGTCTGGGTGGGACAATGAAATGAAAGAAGTAAATAAATGTGTTTGTAACAAGTCACAAAATTAAAGCTGAAACAAAAAAAACAGAAAAATTGTTAAAAAATAAATAAGATAAGATAATTAAAAGTACAAGTTTCCATTTTAACTTTTCTATGAAAGTTGGATGATGACAGCCTCAGCAGCACTCTCCCTTGCCGCTTCTTCGCTTAAGCATTTCGCTCCAAAAATCGGCGCCGCTCCAGGGAAGATTGCCTAAAAATTGATAAGAACTTATCGACTTTCCTAAATATTAGAATTTCAAATCGATGTTCTTATACTATCACATTCTATAGATTAAATTTTGTCGATTCAAACGTTTTCTATAATGTTCACTTTAGAAAAACTACCGTATTTCTATAATTTTTTGGGGGAAGAAATTGTCAGTTGACTTTTAACACTACTCAAATAGGTAAAACTCTTTTAAACGTTTCAGATTTACTTAAATTTCAATAACTTCCGGGGTACGGTAGCTTTTCTAAACCTTTTGAAATCTTTCAGTCAAGAAAAAGAGTACGGACAACTTTTTCCATTGTAATACTCACCGATGCAACAAAGCCGGGATTCTCATCGGGTCCAACAGGAATGCAATGCATCACGGGAAACGTGAGACCTTTCTGTGAAGCAAGCATCATCATCTGAACAATATGATTTACAATTTTATAGCAATTTCAAATTTCCACCTGATATTGCACGTTGACGGCTTTCGAGAGAAGAGTTGAACTTGGTGGAAGACAAAGAGGAAGTGCACGGGTACCATTCTGAGGCAATTGAGCGAAGAAAGGATTTTGTTGAGGTGTTTGGGGCATCAATGGATTTCTGGAAATGATAGAAATCCAGAGATTTAGTTTAATATTATATTAATCACATACTGTGCCAAGAGTGGAGTGAACGGTGGGATCGGTCCGAGAAGGCCTGGCGCTTGTGAGGTTTGTCCATAAGGGTTCGCGGGAGTGATGGCCATTCTCTAAAATCGATAAACCGTGACATTTCAACAATTTTTGTATTGTATGGTATTGATTTTACAACTTTTTTTTAGTTATTTATTTTTTTTTTTTCAATTCTAAACGAAAAATCAACTTTTTCCTGTAAAGTTTTCCGTTTTTCAAAGTTTTTTTTTCTCAAATTCTTTTACCTGATACAAATTCATTGTTGAATAAGGCAATGAGAGATAGGGCAAAGTCATCTAAAATGATTTTTATATAATTTTATTCAAAAAAACTTACCGCAAGTGGATCAACAAAGAGATTTGTGTAGGGATTTGTTCCAAAAAGTTGCATCTGAAAGTGATTCAGCCTTTTTGAATACTTCTAACTTTTATATTATATTATATTAATACAAAAAATGAAATAGAACTTTATTTTAACAACTTTGGCTCTGATTTATTGGGTTGATGGAAAAGTCCTTTCCGATTTTTCGGACCTTAAATTTGTCGAATTTTGACGTTTTATAGCTTATCCTAAAGCTGAATTCAAGACGGATCGATTGGTAAAAACCGTTTTGAGATATCTCTTTTCTAAAAGTTTTTACAGCTATTTTAGTAAAGGGCGGCAGAGCCAAGGCTTTTTTTGGCGAGCGGCAGAGCGAAGGAAAGCGGAAAATCGTTAGTTTTCCGTGGTATGGTGGCAATTCATTTGCTCAGCGAGTTCCCGACTCGTTTGTCGAGGATCCTCTTCAACCAAATCAGCAAGTTTGTCTTCGTCGAAACGAGAAAAACGAAGGAAAATCGCGAAAAGCGGCGGAAAGGCTATTGATCTGAGGATCGCTGGTTCGACTTCCACCGGTGACAATTATTTTTCAAAAAATTTTTGCTAAGATTCTGAAAATGCGTGTCTAGGGGTTATTTTTGATGCTGATCACGAAACACATGTTTTTAGCCTAGGCTTCTGCACGGAAAACTAACGAAACGTGAAAACAGTCATTTTTTGGCTCTGCGGCCCTTTACTAAAATAGCTGTAAAAACTTTTAGAAAAGAGATATCTCAAAACGGTTTTTACCAATCGTTCCGTCTTGAATTCAGCTTTAGGATGAGCTATAAAACGTCAAAATTGGATGACAAAATTAAGGTACTCTCCCAAAAAATCGGAAAGGACTTTTCCATCAACCCAATACAATCGTTTTTTCTCACCAGATTGATTTTCTTCTCATGTGGTGGCGGTTTCGCGAGTTTTACGACAATTTTCGATCCATCCTAGAGAAATTCAAGTATTCGATTATTTAGACAATAGAATATTGATTCTATCTTTTAAATTCTATAACTTTTTCATAGTTTAAACCCTCACCAACATTGCCTTGTTGTATTTTAAAACCGCTTTTCTCGCTTCGTCCTTGTCGCGGAAATGAATGAAAGCACAATTCTGTCAAATAGTAAGCCTCAATTTCATCTTTTCAAACTCACATTATTCTTGACAACTCTGTAAATCATATTTTTCCCGCCAAAAAACTTCTCCAGCGCGTTCCGATCGGTTTTCGTGGCCAAATTTGAGATAAAGATCCCGTCAACCTGGAAAATAAAAGTAAAGCAGCGTTAACTGACTATTATTACTTCATTATTTGTCTAAATTCCTTAAGAAATGTCAACTTAAACCTAATATCCTTGAATATATTATTATCCTTTCCGTCTATGCTTTTCGTATTCCCTTTCGTATTGGCTTTCGTATTCCCTTTCGTATTGCTATGAAACACTGAACCAACGATTGATTCTATTTTTTTGTATTTTCTCGCTAGATTAGTATTGTGCTAGATTCAGAATAAATATCTAATAATCATTGCCCCTATCGGTATTCTCTCACACACTGCACATTTGGTGCGCAGTCCGGGAACCGAACCCGGGTCGCAGTCCGGGAACCGAACCCGGGTCGCAGTCCGGGAACCGAACCCGGGTCGCAGTCCGGGAACCGAACCCGGGTCGCAGTCCGGGAACCGAACCCGGGTCGCAGTCCGGGAACCGAACCCGGGTCGCGGTCCGGGAACCGAACCCGGGTCGCGGTCCGGGAACCGAGCCCGGGTCGCAGTCCGGGAACCGAGCCCGGGTCGCAGTCCGGGAACCGAGCCGCGTGGCAGGCGAGCATTCTACCACTGAATCAATATATAGTATTTTATTTTCTATTTTGTTAAGTTTTAGACTGATTCTCTTTGCCGCGCTCACCTTTTCCATGACTTCAGTCGGAACAAAATGCTCGGGTTTTGCCCAACTTCCATTTATATACACGTCACCAACCTAAATTCTTGCAAAAACTACCACAAAACAAGCAAATCTTATTAATAAATCGATATTATGACTAAAAAATTTTTTTTAGAGAAAAGAGTGGGAGTTTTGACAGAGGAGTGGGAGTTTTGGGGGAGAATCAATCATTCAATCATTGATTCTCAATCAATCATTCAATCATTGTCTACTCGAGAATCGTTTCTTTCATTTGATCTTCTTTGTAAATCTCTTTTACCGATTTTAAGATTTCATTGGAGATTTCTGATAAAAGAAAATAAAAGCTTTTGAAATTTGCTTGAATACCCGAACGAGACCACGATTGATTGCGTCAAGCGCGTGCACGGCGGCGCCACGATTCTCGAACTGAAATTTGGGATTTGTATTTGGATTTTAGTCCATAATCATAGAGAAAAGTGAGTTGTTTCATCTCAAATTTCAATTAATGGGTATTCAGCTTGGAAAACTGATGAATCTCGCCGACCTGAACGAAGCCGAAACCCTTGCTCGACGTGTCGGTGAGCATAATCAATTCGAAATCGACGATCCCACCCATTTGCAGCTTTAGAGATTCCTGTAGACTTGATTTTTAAAGCTTAAACTCGCATTTTAGTAGCCAAAATATCGTTGCTTTTAATTTCATTTAATTATTAAAAACAAAAAAAGCCAGATCCCACCTCAACTTCCTGTTGCAAGAGAAACTTTGGCACACCGGCGACGAAAATTCGACAACCATTGTCGATTTGAGTTACCATTTGAAGATCTAGACACAAACTTATTGAATTTACCCAATGAATAAATAAAGCTCTACCTTCAATCTCTTCGTTTATCATCATTTTGTCAATTTAGTCACTTCAAAAACTAAAATTTTGACTCAATTGAGTTAAAAGTAAAGATTTAAAAGCTTAAATTATAAATCTAAGAAAAGGTGTTTGGGATCTTCAACTATTCAACTTTAAAAGCGTGCAATTTAAACGAATTGAAGCAATTGGATAAAGCATAGGATCCAATTGGACTTCTAGACTTGAGAATTAACGAATTAACTCAATCAAAAGCAGTAAACAATTTCAAAATGATTTCCAAAGGCAAAAATTTAGATGATTCACTCGTTCAGTGATCCGGGTGGAGTGATGAAAAGAAAATGTAGAGGGGAAAAGGATGAAGAGGAGAACGAGAAGACCCCCAACAAGCCCCGATTTGATCAGATAAACGATTTTGAAAGAAGTGTGAAAGCGAAAGGGGAATGGTTTCTAGAAATTTTCTCTCTCTTCTGTACACATTATCATCCATATCTCTTTAGAATTTTTGGGGGAAAAAGACAATTTTTTTTCCTGGCCCTTCACAAAAATTCTGACCATCACTGATCGTTGTATGAGATTAAGGGTACAAAAATTCGAATCAATTCAAGAAAAGAGACTGAATTTTGAAATGATCAAAAGAACGAAAGTGATTAAAGTAAAAGTAAAAGTTGACTTTCAAGAATCGCGGTCATTAGGGTGATCGGAATGAAACGAGCGCTCACATATCTTTCTAAAAATCAAAAGATTACAAGTCTCAGTCAATAAAGCCAATAGAAAACCCTGAATCTCCTCTATAAAAATAATGCAAAAAGATTTTGAAGTGAATTGATTATTGGAGACTTGGTTAAACTTGGGTGTTAAAAAGTAACCGCAGCTAAAGTCTCAACCTGGGTATCTGCATCTGCTGGCAACTATCGATCTTTATCGATCTTTTCGCTTGAGATTTAAGAATATACATTACAGTATATTAAGGATATACATTACAGTATATTAAAAATCTACATTACACAATATTTATATTGAAACTCAAACGAACTAGCTTAGATTCTATGATCTAAAGTTGAAAGTAGCCGTTTTTTTTATCTAAAATGAGGCTCTCTAGAAGACGAACAAACAAAAAAGTTCTTTTCTTTTATCTTATTTTGAAATAACTTTAATTAGCGGTATTTTCTAACGGAAAATCCGGTCATGGCTATTACCGGAAAATCATTTTTGACCTTTGAACTTAAAAGTCATTCAAGTCTTCAATAATCAATTCACTTCAAAATCTTTTTGCATTACTTTGTAGAGGAGATTCGGGGCTTTCGAACAGTATACAACACTTATTGGCTGAGCCTTGTAATCTTTTGATTTTTGGAAAGGTATTTGAGCGCTTGTTTTATTCCCATCACCTTAATATATTATTCGTTGCGTTTTAGTCTCCTCTACAACTATTGCCTATATAAAAAACAGGATTTCCAGTCGAGGAATGAAGAAAAACGCGATTTTTTTTCTTTCCGTTCCACCCTAAAACATGGATATTTGGGCAAAATGTATATGTTACGTCCGAATCTGAGGAGACGTCCATCTCCGATCCGGACGTCCGACGTCCGATGATCCGACTCTGAGTCGGACGTCCGTTTCGGAGGAGAATGAATCTCCTCAGATTCGGACGTCCGGATCGGAGATGGACGTCTCCTCAGATTCGGACGTAACATATATAAGGGTTCCGTCCAATTGCATTTTAGCACTTGCATTCTTTTCTTTTGCATGTATTTTCTCAAATTTAACATCAATCCTAAATATTTTTTGTTTTTTAATAGAAAACATTATATTCTAAAGGATGATTTTAAAAATAGTTGGAAATCAGACTTAAGAAGACTTGAAAAACAGGCGCCCAATTTAACACTGAATTTCCTTGGGCCGGAATATCCCTTTAAACACGAACTTGACGTCTGCTGTCAAAAACTGAGAAAAAGTGTTGAGAATGGATTAGGAAACGTTTTTAACCTAATAAAATGCTTGACAGAATATGGAATGATGATAAGACGTCGATATGAAGATTCTTTTTGACTTTTTCCTTACCTAAAGACTTCCCTCATCGTGTCAAGATGATCTAAATGTCTCTTCTTTTCTCTCTTTTCCTTCACTCATTTCTCATTCCCGCAATGAGTGCTGAATAGTTGAGGATCCCAAACACCTTTTCTTTTCTTTAATAGAGAGAAAGATAAAATCTATCTTGTGGCTTTTTGTAGAAAATAGAAATCAGGGAATGAGCTAGAGTGTGTGCATTTGCTTGAACCCAAAGTACAAATCGAATTTGAGTCTAGATACCCAATTTGTAATTGAAATGTAGTTTTTAAATTGTTTTTTCTTATTCTCTTCGATTTTTATCCTCATTTTCATTTCGGGACATAAACCATCTGTTCACGAAGCACACCACATTGAAGCTTTAGCGGACAAGCGCCAGTCGGGCAACCCTGAAATAAAAGTTGATAGATAATCAGAATTGGGTGAAAATCGAAACCTGCAAAGGATTTTAAAAACTCTTATAGCTTGCAAAAGGTTTAAAATAAAAAACCCTTTCGACACATTTCCCTTTCAAATGTCCCCATTCGACGCATTTTGTTTCTGGTCGACAGCTCACTGTATCACACACTGAATTTATATCTAATTTTGGAAGAATCTCTCGTTGCACAATGGCCGAATGGCCGAATGCACTCGCACTGAGTCCCAGAGGTCAAGAGTTCAATTCCGCCTCCGGTCAAACATTGCTTTTTTTACCAAAAGCTCAAATAACCTTTTTAAGAACGCCCCAACTTTGTCCAGTCAGTTTAAAAGCAGTTTACTTAGCGATTCAAAGATAAATCTTAAAAGTTTCCCGACAGAACTTCATCTTCATCTTTAACTTATCGAACGTCTATCTACTTCTTTAAAAATTAAGCAGATCTAATGGTTATCGAATGCTCTAATCGAATGATCTAATGATTATCCAAACCACGAGCGGAAAAACCCACCAGGTTTCTCGATCATATCACAAATTTGTAAGCAAAAACAAAAATCTGAAAACCTTAGCCTCACCAATTGGATAACAGAATTTCCATAAAGTGTTGTAATCGTATTGACACGAGTATTTCGCAGGACAATCCTCAAGATGATTACAAGGCTGAATAGCTGCTTTGTTAGAGATTTGATTTTAGAGTTTTTACTGGAAATTAGATTATAATAAATGACGTAAATCACGTTTTCCGGCCTTCAAACCTTTAGCTTAATGCAAATTATCGATGATCCAGTCACCGCACACCACTCAGCTCCACTACAAGAGTCGGATTGACAGCTCTGAATTGATTAGAAGATGTAAAAGTGTTAGATTATTATATATAAAATGATTTCGCAACGCAAACGCATTTACCCTTTTTAATGGCGGTGGCGGAGACTTTGGTGGACGAATGGGAGGGAATTGACGCAGTGAAGAGCCAAAGATCAGCCAGAATAGGTTGATTTTAATTAAAAACATCCGAAAGATAAGAAGAAAGATTATAAAATGATTTCCTTAAAGCTAGAAAAACTTTATTTCAACTGAACAAACAAATTTATTTTCAATTTCAATATTGCTTTTTGATTTTAAGCCACAAAGACTTTTTTTAGATTCACTGTCCAATGCAATCCAATCATTAATGTTAAAAATTGATAAAAAGCTTTCATTTTTTCGCGTGTGATTCAATAAAATGTTTTTCATATAAGAAAAAAAATGTTTAGACGCCTAAGTTTGGCAAAAAAATACATATTCAATTTATGGAATGTAAGAATTCAAAGTCATTTCTATTTTTCTGAAAAATGCTATACATTTCCTTAATTTTGATCTTTTTCTTAAGAATCCCTGGTAACTTTGGCAATCCAAACGCATTTACCCTTTTTAATGGCGGTGGCGGAGACTTTGGTGGACGAATGGGAAAGAATTGACTCAGTGAAGAGCCAAAGATCAGACAGAATAGGCTGCTTTTAATTCAAAACATCAAAAGATAAGAAGAAAGATTATAAAATGATTTCCTTAAAGCTAGAAAAACTTTATTTCAACATTGATTTTTGATTTTAAGCCAAACAGACTTTTTTTAGATTCACTGTCCAATGCAATCCAATCATTAATGTTAAAAATTTATAAAAAGCTTCCATTTTTTCACGTGTGATTCAATAAAATGTTTTTCATATAAGAAAAAAAATGTTTAGACGCCTAAGTTTGGCAAAAAAAATACATATTCAATTGATGGAATTCAATGTAACAATGTGATGAA